GTCCAGGTTCTCCGCAAAGGGCAAACGCATTCCCGGCCGCTGGTCCCAACCCAACTGCAGTTCGTGTTACCAACTACTCCCCTCTCCAACACTGTAATAAGGGGCGGATCCTGAAAAAAAAAATTAGGGTGCTTAATTACACAGTGTTTCAACCCCTGTTAATTTAGAGGCTTTTAGTTTATTATTTATAGTGAAAAAGTCGAAGAGAATGCTGCGAAGATATCTATAGATCTTGTGAGGTGCAGGGGGACTTGACGTGGGATCCGCTCCTCTGCATGTATCATGCTTGCTGCTGCCTGCTGCCACCGGCGATTCATCATAGCCGTTGCGTACGTGTTGCTTTCCTAACAACACTGCATGCAACTGATGGTCGTGGAGCTATATACAAGAGTACTCTATCTGTTAAAAAAAAACTGATTATGTAACCAGTTTTTTTTTACGCAGAGTACGGTTGCATTCTTTACTCGTGTTCTTAACTTCACCCCTACTCGCTTTTTACATGAACGCTTCCCAAACTATTTAAATGTATGTTTCTTAAAAAAAAAGTTATATAGAAAAGTTGTACTATAAAATCACACTAATCTTTTTTTAGAAAATAATACTTAATTAATCATACACTAATTGATAAGTTATTTTCCAACTCAGTTTGTCAAACTCAGACTACAGCTGGTATGATACTAAGGCTGCATTCGTTTTGGAGAACAAAGGATGTGCTTAGATGGTGGAAAAGTTGGGAAGTTAGGAGAAAGTTGGTAGTTTATATGTGTAGGAAAGTTTTCGATGTGATGTGATATTGGGAATTTGGGGGGAACTAAACACGGCCAAAGGGAGTTTGTTTGTTCCGTTTTCCGCGCATAGGCTTCCCACACTATTAAACGGTGTGTTTTTTATAAAAATTTTCTATATGAAAGTTGCTTTAAAAAATCATATTAATCCATTTTTGAAGTTTAAAATAGTTAATACTTAATTAATCATGCGCTAATGACTCACCTAGTTTTACATATCTTTCCAATCTTCTCGATCCCCTCTCACTCGAGCATTAGGGCACCCATAATGGTTATCTATAGGCTCTCTACAAGAGATCTATGTCAGTATATTTTTCTACATGGAAGATATTAAATGAAGAGAGAGAGAGCAAAGCTATCTACTAACTTAGAGATAGTCTATAAATAAAAACGAGGCAATGCATGAGAGAGCTATAGATACCCATGTAGATACTATTGAGGTGGTTTACTATTAATCTAGTCTATTGCTGAGATGTACATGTTTTATAGAGAACACCTTACTTTACTATTACAGATACTTTTAGTGTACGGATCTAGTAGTCATCGGCATGCAGCTAGCTGGGATCATCGAACGACCAACGTACTCCGACATAGTACGTACGGTTTCGACCATTGATTGATTTGGGTCTCGTTTGATTGTAAAAGCAAAGCTCATCTGACTGATCGAGTTTAGCTAGCTACTGGGCAATTGGGGTCTTTCTTTTCATCTAGATCTCCCGGCTAGCTTGATTTGCGAAAGAGTTTCCTACTTTCCTTTGTTTATAAAGTACGTTTAGTGATCGATCGATTTCTTTGTTTATAAAAAGCTCTGAGGATGGATGCATCATCATTCATATCCTCGTCACTGACGATAACATGAGGCGCCCGGTCGATTGGCACGCCACTAATATTATTGCCGTGTCGCTTTCAGCACTGCGAAGATAGCGGTAGCAAAGGTGCCTTTGATTGATTGATTGATTTTTAAGGGTGATTGATACTTAGTACATTACATTCCTAGCTGTAGCCTGTGTTTAGTTCACACTGAAGTTGAATAGCAGTTGGGTACTCCATCCATAGCTGAGGATGAAACACAATATGATATCTAGATTCATTCTATTAGATTATGTCTTATCCCTTATGTTGATTTTTTTTTGACGGATAGAGTACTTCGTATAGTCTAGCTATACAGTGTCTTCAGGTGTTGCAGAAGTCTGTGTGCTGTTGAACGAACCAGATAGGAGAAATTGGTGTAATCTGCTTGCTGGGGTCATCAGAAAGCACCAGGCCCGATGATCAAGACCCACAAGACACCAAATTGGTGGCCCCTGTGAGCTAAAGTAAGGATACCTTTGATTTGTAGAAAAAATGTAGAAATTTTGGAGGATTTCAATCCTATAGAAAAAAAATCATATGAAGGCCTTTGAAACGAAGAGTTGAATCCTATCCAATCCTTTAAAATTTCTATGGAATGGGTAATCCTATGCACATTTGGGGAAAAGTTAGCAAGAGCTCTAACCTCTTGGAACATTTCCTCTGAGTCTATCTCTCTCATCTGATTCCTGCGTTTTTCCTGTGGTCCAATCAAATGGTCATTCCTGTGTTTTTCCTGTATTTTGCAATTCTCTGTTTTACAATTGTATTCCTGTCAGAATCCTATGTTTTTCCTATTCCTCTGTTTGTTCATTCCTATGATTCAAAAGGGCCCTAAGCTTTGCAACATCGGCGATCCACTTCCACTCCATCTGAATGCTGTCGTATAGCTGCCGTTCAGGCTCAAAATTGCAAGTTGCTGTTTCTGAAACCGATGGAATTCAGTGGAGAAGATGCACAAGTTCAGTAAAACGCTTGATCACTTGTTCTGATAGTCAGATGATTAGGAAGAACACAGAAGTACAAAACTTGGTCACCAAAGATTAGTTCCCAGCTGACTACTCTGATGGTGGTGCCACATCATAATCACAACAGTTGAGAAACATTTGTTCTGATTTATTACCTTGTTCAATAATCACACGCTCTTTTTTCCCCTGATTTATTCTAATTATTAAGAGTTCCCAACTTCTAGTGAGTGAGTATCATTCTTGTTTGCGCTTTTCAGACTTCACTCGAAGGCTTGCGAACAAGATTGAATGATGAGCTATATATCATCTTGCAGGTTGTGATCTTTGCAGCGATGAACGCAAGAGTTTCAGTACAACACTTCGAATGGAATAGCGATGGCGTCCGACGAGGCTTCTGGTTGCAAAGAATCTGACCCCACACGTCAGAGTAACAACAAGTAGCAACCCGAGTTCATGGGCCACTTGGGCCGCTCTACTACTTGGGCTCTGGGAGGTTATTAGGTCCACGCGGTGGGAAATCACAAGGATTCGCTCGCAGCAGCCAGCAGCGAAGGTTGCCGTTGCCGGTTGATTTGGTGCGAGAGTTTAGTACCACCTCGCCTGTTCAGCTGGGAGAGGCGGTCGCGCTAGCTATAAAAGGAGGCCGGGGGCCTCCGTTTCAACTCATACCTTTCTCGGCCTTTTGGCTAAGATCAAGTGTAGTATCTGTTCTTATCAGTTTAATATCTGATATGTGGGCCATGTGCCCACTTCGATATTAAATTTATTTTTTGTGGGGGAGGGTCCACCACAGTGGCTTGCCACTGGGGCCCTCGCACGTCGCCCAGGCGTTGCACTGCTGCCCGGGCCTGGCGCACCCCAACCAAATCAAATTTAAAACTTTTAACTCTTTAGAAGTTGGTTTAATCACAATTTTTTCTGAAGAGCATGCTTTTGTAAGGGGGGACTGTAATAGAATTGTTTAAAATCTAGGTTAAAATGGTTAATTTGGATTAGCAGTGGTCCTTGCGTTTACATTTTCCTTCAGATCCATCTTGATGCTGTAAAACGCATGCAGCAACAATAGAGCAGTTTGATGATTCAGGAGCTCTTGTCTTCCTCTCCACCCCCTGCGCCCCGAGCCCCCGAGCATGGCGATCCTCGCATCCCCTGCTCCCTCTCCAGCTCCGTCCCGCCCGCAGGGACGCCTAGTTGTCCTGTCACGCAAGAGCTTGGCACCCCACTTGGTCATTTGTTTGTTCTTGCAGTCAGATATATATATAGGGGATCGAGATCACCTGCGGTAATTAAATCAATCTGGAGACTGGAGTTGCGGCGCCGGCGCTGTGGACGAAGACGACGTAGGGTTGCTGCATGGTCGATCTCTCTCAGGCGTCCAGTCCAGTGGCAATGGACACGGAGACCGGCACCAGCAAGGGGCAACGGCGGCGGCATCGCATGCGCTGATGATGGAGACACGGCCGAAAATCGCAACCGCCCGACGGCCGGTGTATGTGCTCTGGTGAAGGGCGGTGCCGGTGCAATTGGGCGATAGTTTAGCCTGGGCTTTAGGTATGCGCGCGGCAAGCAAGCGTTCCGCCGCCGGTGGCGAGCAGTGGTGGTAACCCGGCGGTCTTGGATAGCCTGCTCGTTAATGTTTTCGAAACCGATGGAATTCAGCAGGAGATAGCAGAGGGCTAGAGAAAAATAGAGAGCGACCACACATCAACCTCTCAATACGATGAAAACAAGGGCCAGAGATGCAATAAGCAGTAAAACCATAATCAAATCGGTACAAATTGAACGAGAATTGTTCAAAACAGGCATCATCACCAAATAATCAACAAATAGATTTCAACTTCATTGCTTGAAGACAACTTCAACCTTCCATGCTTTCGAAGAGCAGCAAGTAGCTTCCATCCCGATAGAAAAAGGCAGAACGTTCATGTAGGAATTAAGCTAAAACCATCCGCATAGATAGATGCAATGGCATGCCTGAGCTCAGTAATAACTAAGATGAAGAACCTAACTCCAGCCGCACTCAACAATACGGACAAATATTGCTACCCTGTAAAAATAAAGTTGCATATACAAAATTACAAATATTGTTACCCTGCATAGGACATCGCAAACCAGAGCAGAACCTGCAAATTACAGGAAAAACGCCATTGTATACATATTCAGAAACCGGCTTGACGACTTCAAGGCAAATGATGCTCGTAACAATGGTAAGACTAGGGTACAAGAACCAAAACTTCTCTCTTGATCTGGAAACTGGAGGGTGGTGAGACAGAAGACGCACCCACCACCAAGACCTGATCATTGATGTACCCCTGTGACCCGCTGTTAACCTGCAAATATTGTTACCTTGCATAGAACATAGCAAACCAGATATAAGCAGGTAAAGTACACACCCAGGTAAAGTACAAGGTAAAGGACAACCAGGTAAAGTACGGTAAACTGCATTGTATACATCTGGTGCAACTGGTAAAACTTTGTTCCTATAATTTTTTACCCTAATGGAACCCTATACAAAATCCAAGAAAGATGAATTCCTTTTGCAGCATATACAACTAATGTTTGCAACGGACTGTTACTAGCAATCTTAACGAATAAATCATCAGGGATGCCTGTAAGCCTACCCAATCTGGTACTCTATCTACGAATGGCGAAGGAAAACCATGGTGAAAGGGATCGCCTCCTCAATGCTCCACATCAACAGCGCCTGCTTCGTCATCCATCATCTACTTCCTGCCAATGAGGTGAATGAACATGCTTAGACAACACAGCTGGATGCCAACTGAACAGAAAGTCAACTTTTGCACAAGTGAAAACCATGCATGGAGTTTTGCCTTGCCGATTTGACATGATATGCAACTACTATTGAACATGAAAAAGGGTAAATAAAAAGTACAAATTGGCAGAGTATCATGTTTCCAATGCTAAAAGCTAGTTTATTTTTTTGGTTGTAAAAGAAGATGGCAAGCAATATCACGGAGGTTCCACATGTTTTACCTCGTAACTGCACTAGTACTACTCTCCTAGAATACCTTAAGAAGTTGACTGTAACAAAACCTATTTATGTGACTCTAGTATGAAGGACTTCTAGCAAAATTATTTAATTAATTTTGGCCTGTTGAGAAAACGACAGCTAACATAACGAGCTTAAACGTGAAACTGTACGACATCAAAAACAGAAATGGGAACTGGTATCATGTAGTTTTTACCATATATGATCACACAGTAGAAAATAAATAAATATGTGCAGTACTCATCACGAAGGAATAGGGGATTCATCAAGCAGAAATAGCAACTCACCTTAGAAATGTTAGTGCACTGCAATGGAAAACCAGCTGGCTCAATTGTAAGATATCTCAATTGACACAAGAATCTCAGCAAAGTACAGATGAAATCCAAATTATGACCAGAAGAGTGGAGCATGGCAAGGTATTTGCACCCCAAATGTTTCTCTCTGTCAGCCCTACCGAGAATGTTATAACTTGACCATGGTAAAAGTTGTACCAGATATATGCTTATTGCATGTCATTCTCAATAATTTGAACGCTTCACTTGTCAGATCAGCATAATTCCAAAAAGAAAACCACAAAAAATTGAATAATCCACAAAAGTAGCCTTCTCCCTTTTGTAGATTATTATTGGGTTGCACGACTGATATATCATCCTATAGCACAAGTAATATATGTTGTGAGGCAGACTGGCAACCCGCACCACTAGTCAGCAGAACTTGTACGAGAGCAGCAGCAAAAAGTTGGGTAGCAGACAGAACATGCCAGATATATAAGTTTTCTTTTCAATGTCCACCATACCCTATAAAGTCACCACCACCTGAAGATCAATGTCATGATCAGCAGGAACAGGATTCTCCTCAGGTTTATTCTTGGTTTGCAAAGGAATAGATTCCTTTATCTTACCATTTTCTGATGCTATGATCAGTCCTTTGTCAGATATCCTAATGTTGAAGGGGTCATCAAGAAAACCATCCGACTGCGTCACTGCAGCAGAGTGTTCATTATTTTCAGTACAGTCAAGCTCTTTTGGACTTATAATATTATCAAGCTCTTCTGGACTTTTATGACTATCAAGCTCTTGTGAACTTCGATGATTTTCAAGCTCTTTTAGACTATTTTGATTATGACACTCTTTTTGGCAGTCTTGATTATCGAGTTCACCCAGGTTATTGTCAAGACTATGACACTCCTTAAGAATTTCATGGTTGTTGAGCTCATGCAGACAGTGTGCTTCTCCACCAGCACATATGCTTTCTCCAGTACTATCAAGCTCCTTCGTATTGTTAAGATTGAAGAACATTTCCATATTGACATCAAACTCTTCTATCTTGTTATGATCACCAAGCTCTTTCTCAGTGCTAGTACTATCAAGCTCCTTTGTACTGTTAAGATTAAATAGCACTTTCATATTGCCATCAAACTCTTCCGTCTTGTTATGATCACCGAGCTCTTTCTCAGTGCTATGACTGTCGAGCTCCTTTTCATTATGATCTTCCTGCGCTTGCAAACAAATATGATCACCAACTTCCTTTTCAAAACTATGATCATTAACCTCTTTCTCAATGATATGACCATGAGACCCTTCCAGACTGTCATGGGCAACCAGATCTGTTGGGCTCCTGTCTTCCTTGTCCTCTATAGATCTGCTTGTGACGTCATCCTTATCAGATTGAGCCATAAGGATATTATCTGTTTGTACATACGGACAAACAGGTACATCTTTCAAACGGCATCTATGGCACTTGAAACCTATGAGATTATTAACATTCTCAAGAGTAATAGAATAGATGTCTCCATGGAACCAATCTACAAGAATAAACAATTCTAATTAGAACAACAATTTGTGAAATACAAAAGTTTGCAGTGGCAGGAAAAGCAACACAAGTCACTGCACAACCATCAAAAAATTCAAAAATGATAAAATATGGTTACATAAAGAAGTGATAAGTAAATGATGCTCCTCAGTATGTCCAAGACCTAAAAGTAATAAGTAGAAAGCACATAATCCACAGGAAAAGGATAGTAAAATCTGTTAATTTGTTTCAAGAGGTCCAAGCAAATTTCAGATTCATACTGTCCCCATCTCTTAGGGCCAAATATAGTCATTCTATACAGAGAATGCAGGTTTAAAAAATTACCTCCACAATCTTCACAGGCAATATAAATAGATTCTCCACTGTAGCATTTCTGGCATAGACGGCACACTGGAAAAACTTCAGACAGATCAGCATCTTCGCAGGGAAAGACAACTCTTTCTGTCCTAAAAGATATTGCCCGATCATCATTTGGGTTTTGTGTCCACCGAAGGCCATCTAACCAGTATGAATAATGAGAAGCAGTCCTCCTCCTCTTTGCTGAACGCTCAGATATATTTGAATTGCCTTTCATGTACTTTGAATATAATCTTTTTGATATACGTTTAGCTGGCTCATTCTTGGGCACATTGGCTGGTTCTTTCACACGCAACTCTGGCAATTTATTCTTTGACTCATTCAGCGGGTACTTCCTAGGTCGGCCACGCTTGCCCTTATTCTTGCCCATCTTCTTCTTGGATTTGGCAACAATCTGTTTACTTCTTGTTACAATCTTAAGTGATTGCTTCTTTGTCTTCTTTTTCAGAGAGTTCTTCTTTGATACAACCTTTTTCTGTGGAGACTTCACATTCAAGACCTTCTCAGATAGGCACTTGTTGCAAACATAATAAGCATCAGTAGCACCTCTAGGAACCTTGAAGTGCTTTTTATGGAAAAGTGCTGCATAGAAGATAAGAATATTAGGTAAGTACCAAACATAAGCATCCATGCCAAAGTACCAAGGAAAAATTTGATGATTATAAGAAATGCGATACATAGCAAATACAAGGCAGGCTACATGATGCAAATGCAAAGAAGAAAACAATGTCTAATACATACCTTCACAATATTGGCAGTTCACAGCATCACTGTTCAAAAAAAAAAAAGTCAAATAACTTGCAAGAATAATCTATCATGCTAGAGAAATACAAAATATTTGTGAAAATGAGAACATGCAGAAGTGATACATGATTGATAAAGTACGGTGGCCTATCTAATAATTTCAGGAGCAAAATGTTGAAATCCAATTCCTACAAAACCTTGGATGGCTATATCAAAACATTAACCAGATTAACAATATTAACTGTGATTTGTACAGAAATGGCACCATCAGTTAAACTGGCAACTTGGAGTGTGCCATAAAATGGGAATTCTGAAAGGAAGAAAAAAATCTAGGTACAGAAAATGTACTTGTATCTAAACTAGCACAGTCCAATCACACAAGTTTCATCTTCTGACAATCATTGTTACAGAACACTATTAGCTAAATAGCTGCATCAGAAGCCACAAGTTAACTAAATGTAAGGGCTTAATAAGCAAATTAGCATCCCATATGAATATCTAGAACCTTGTTAAGATTTCTAAGACACAAGGAAGAAGATAGGAGAAGAAAACAGTCATAGTACTTGATTATCGGAAAGTCATACGCATATATGCCCTGTAATCACTATCCAAATATGACAAAAGGTTCTAAAGTCCATGCTCGCCAAAAACACATTGACTTAACCATGGAACTGACCTATCACATTCTGACAGCAGATAAAAAAGACTAGTCTAAAGCACATTATTCAATTATTTTTTCACAATAGCAAGTACTCCCTCCATTTCTAGTATTGCCCACATTCATATAGATGCTAATGAATCTAGATATTGTTATATATATATATAGATTCATTATCATCTATATAAATGTGGGCAATGCTAGAAAGTCTTACATTGTGAAGCGGAGGAAGTAGAGAAGACTGTCACAAAAAGGTAATGCAAATGTTCACAAACACACAGCTACTATAAGCCTATCAAGTTCAAGGAGGGACTGGTGTGTTACATAAGCTTTTGCTAGTCCAATACTGATAATTAATTGAGCAAGAATATTCTTGTTGAGGAAATACAATGAACTAAAAATGTGAGTGAAAGATAAATGAATGGTTTCAACATACCTGATCTTTACTTCTTTGTCACAATGGCCACAAAGCCCAAGGACTTGCTTTTTTGCTTTTTCTAGGAGATCATCAAATCCTGATTTTTTTGGCTTTGGGGGTTTCAAGTCAATCATCTTCTTTGGAAGGTGATCAATATCTTTCTTTTTCAGTAAGCGAGTTAATGCTTTAGCTTCATATGCCTTCAAAAGACTCAGAGGGAGATGTCCTTCACTTAACCAGTATCTGTTCCTCTCATTAGAGGGTTCGTCAAGTTTTTTTCCATGTTTAGCAATAACTGGAGGAATATTCTCCCTCTTCCCAAAATCAAGTAAATATTCCACATTTGTTCCATCTACACGCTTTCTGCGAACTATAACTTTCTTGAAAAGACGTGCTATTTTCTGGGTTTCCTTTGTTGCAAGGCTAGCAGGGAGAGTGCTCAATATCTCAGTCCACCTGATATTGAATTCAAGCTCTTTGATCTGAAGGTGCATGAAGGAGCACAATTCAGTGACCACATTTTACTGACTGCTTTCCAAAATAGTAAGAATATATTACCTGCAAAATAAACTGGGCCACATTTTCTGCCATTTCCACAGCAGCTTGCCAAGCTATGTATTTGGACCTCCTGGCAAACTGTGAACCATCACTATATAATATGGTTGGGATTTTAATTCGCCCCGCTGATACATACAAGACCACAAAGGCTTAGTACAAAAATACAATGGTAAGTAAAGCACATCTGGAAACTGAGAAGATTGAAAATGTAACCTTGCCGAACAGCTTTATATGTCAAGGACTTTGGCAACCTCTTCCAGTGAAACACTTGACGAGACAATCTCCCACCCCTTCGCCAGTAAACACCAACATCACGAGAGTCAACTTTGAGTTCAACAATAAATGGCTTTCTCCCTGGCTTTCTAGTGCTTCCATGTCTCGAGGATTTATTAGATGTACGAACCAAGACATGAGCTGCAGACCCAACAACTTCAACAGAGTCTGCTGGTTTTTGCCATTCCACTGAGAAGGCAACACGTCGCACACTGGACTCCAACTGCATAGTATTAGCAGATATCATGAAGTAAGTACACACAGGATAAAAAGCATTTTAGTAAGAACAATGCATTTAAAAAGCTATACCATAAGGAGAGGTTGCTTCAATGATGACACATCTGAAGCCTTCAGAACTGCCTTACGCCAATAACTGCTAAATTGGGGATTTTTCCATGGACCAATCAGTAGACCATTTAGCCGTTCTTCAATTGACAAGATGATATGTATGGCAAGAATAATATGGCTGTTCATATTCTTTTCTGACTGAAGACCCTCCATGCATTTGCCATCGGTGACTCTGAAAATGCAATCAACACCGCCACTGATTTGGCAGGAATTACACCAACCACATTTTTCCTTTCGCAGCTCTACAGACAACTTTTGATCTGTCAGAGCAAAAATATTGGCATATTTCTTACATATTGTTTTTAGCTGGAATGAAGCTGCATCCTGACCAACTTTCTTTCCTTCTTTGTTTTCCGATAGCTTGTCCTTCAACTCTTCAGCAGCTGATGCTGCTATTTGACCAAAACTGTAGTAGTTTACGTACATAGCAGGGTTCGAATGGATATAACAATCACTTATCTTTTTGTGAGGTGATTGGTCTATCTTATTCTCAGCAGGCAATCCATTAGCATAAGAACAAACATCTTGCTGAGTCTTGGCACTAGTTGCATTTCCATTTTCAGAAATAACCGCAGATCTCAAGGAGAACTTGTGGTGAGAGGTGTCATGATCCAGCCGATCTGGATCCGAGGCATGAGCTTTCCCACAGGCCAATTGTTCACAGGAGCCATTCTTATCTGACTTAAGCTGCTCATGTTCTGTGTGTTGCTTCGATGGCAATAAATGACTACAGTCTATCTTGGCATCAAAGATACTGAATTCCTTGTTATTTTCACATCGACCATTGGAATCAAAAGAATCAATTGCAGTGCCCCAAAACAAAGATATCATGTTAGTGATTGAACTGTACGAGGGATGGCATGTTCTTAGCACATTGAAAAGCGAATGGTGATCAAAAATGCCATAGTAATGACATGTCGAGTCCAGAGAATCCTCAGCAGTTGACTCAACCCTGCAAATTCAAAATGATGTTATGCTTTTGATGTAGCAAAACGTAACAATTATACTATAGTACATACAGAGAGGTTCAATTTCCCAAGGTAAACATCTCGTACTGCACTGCAATATATATAAATATAAATATGTATATAAATATAACATATGAATTGCAAGGAATAAGAACTAGATTTTGCCGTGAGGAAATACTCATGAACAAGCATGCACCTGAATGCATAAATGAAAAAATGGCATAAATACTGCATTGGGATATTTAATAAGTGTAACAATTGGCAGATAGTCATTAAAAAGCAATACAGTTTGAAAAATATTTCGACTAGTCACTTATAACATCATCTTCCGGTTGTTATAACCAAACAAAACACAGTAGAATGTTATAAAATGAGAAAGTATATATAGGTTTTAGTTTTAACAGGATAAGCTAAGTTGGTAAATTTACTCTTCCAAAACCTCTAGCTTAGAAAATAAGAAATATTTCACGAGCTGCATTGCATGATGAAATTAAATGCATTTCTAGGTATATAGGTCCATTGCGTATATCTAGACTCGTATGACACACGTAGCTAGTACACACATACAAATCTTGACTGAAGCTTACGTGTTGTTCTATGGACAGGTGGCACCACGTCCTTGGTGCAGTACATAGACAGGAGAAAGTGCTACATCATTTTTCTTAAATCCTAAGGCAACTCAATGATCAGAACAGTAAAATTGTGAATTTAATTTTTGCATTATACTGAGGTTTGGAATCACGCAAGCTACTAATAACCAATAGACAATATGGCAGAGGATTATTCCCATTCACTACATAGCCAAAAGACCCAAATTTGCGCATACCACAAAATATATTGACTTACACCAAAATATAGCCACAGGTGCCAAAGTATAGTCGGTCATGTGGATCCATTCCCAGAACCTCAGCTCCTCTTCCAGGCTTTACCATATTTTTGAATCCATCATTCTTCTGTATCAAACACTCCGGGCAAAACCAATTACCTTCAGGCAATAAATCTTCCACTACCCCCACACATTTAGAGTGAAATGCAGCAGGACAGCCATCACAACATAACAAATTACCATCCATGCCACAAAGATAACACTCATCGCTGTTACCATCTTCAGTGTCACTGGAATCTTCAGGAGCCCGAGAAGAATTCAGTAGGTTCTTGACAGCAGAAGCCCTCCTTTTTCTTCTTGTACGAGTGCTTTTACAAAGCTCATCATTCCCATCCAACTCAGACATCCTTGAAACAACTTCAGAACGTATAGCCTCAATTTCCAGAACATCGTCACAGAGTGCGCGCAGTAACTCTAACTTCACCATTGCCGGCTGAGTATAGTACTCTGTATTCAACAGCTTTAGGTCTGTAAGCTTCATACCATACCTCAGTTCTGAACCACGAGTCAATAGGTACTCAGCAAGATAGATTGGCCAAGTTGCTAGGTCCAAAAGCTCCCAGTTAAGATTCCTACACATTCAACATTTGATAATTAAAACATAGTTCTATTTTTATAAGCCTATCTTACAACAACAAAACAAGGATTCAAGGACTTTTACCTAATGCAATGCATTGCCGGAGGGTCTCCTTCATTGGCGAGATCTTCCAAGTGACTCTTCATCGCTCGCAGGAGAGAAAAATGAACCCAGTCAATCAAAGGGTTCACATATATACACCGCAGTGCAGCCACAAATGTCTCCAGCAGGAACGGGCTCAGGAACAGCTGCCTACTAAAAGACCTCAAGCAGGAGTACACTTGAAAGACGTCGAGAGCAGGGAGACCTTCCAAATCCAAACTCTGCGACGAGGGTGGAAGCTCCGGCTTCGGAGGCAGCCTCTCCACCGCAGCCTTCTCCAAATCCTTCGCGACAGACCGATACCTGCCAGCCCCGCTTGCACGCTTACGCTTACTCCCAGACTGCGGTGGCGTAACAGCAGCCTCTGCCTCGGCCTCGGCCATCGCGGCAGCAGCTGCTTCAGCCTCAGCGGCGGCCGCCACAGCGGCGGCGGCCTCCATTTCGGCCACCCGCGCGGCCGCCTTCGCCTGCCGCGCGCTCCGCCGAAGCGGCTTCCCGGACGACTCAGGCCCTGGACTCACCACCCTCCGCCTCTTCTCCGCCATCTCCGACACCACGTCCCCATCCACCTCATCCCTACTACTCCCCTCCACCACCACCACCGGCGACGCGGGCTCCGCGCCACCGGCGGGGACAGCCAGAACCACGGAATCCACCTCCATCGCCACCACCGCGCCCACGCCAACGCCCCCCTCCTCATCCCCGCGCCGCCGCTTCTTCGGGCGCCGCCCGGGCGTCAACGGCAGCGGATGCGCCATCTCCACCCCAACCGGCGACCCACCAACCAGCAACCCCACCACCTCCCCAAGCTCCACCTCCTCGGAGTCCCCGTCCTCGTACATCACCCGGAAGTACCCCGCCTCGGCGTCGTACGACTCCACCACCCCGTCGAACACCCCGAACCCCGGGAACTCCTTCCTCACCGCCCTCCCCACCAACCCCTCCATAGCCACGAACGACGGCCCACGGCCGCCGCCGCCCCGGGAAGGCCCGAATTCCTAGGGTTTGCGGGCAGGGGAAGGCGCGTAGACGGCAGATCGGGGTGGCGGCGGCGGATCAGGGCCCGGATCGGAGGTCCCCGGCGGCGGGGGAGGCGGGGTTTGGCCGCTTCGAGGGTTGGGAATTTGGTCCGCGGCGATGGCGATGAGGAGGAGGAGAAGGGGAAGAGGAGAAGATGGAGGCGTGGTTATATTGTGGGTGAGGAGAAGGAGGCGTGAGGCGTCTCCTCCTCGTGGGATGGGCGTTTCGGGCGCGTGGTGTGCGAGGGCGAGAGGCGACGCCTACGACGAGCCGAGACGGAGGAGGGAAAAGGAAAAATTGGCTCCAAGGGGGGATAGAATTGGTTCGAAGGTTTGATTTGAAATGGAATGGAATAGAGAGGTGCAAAAAAAAAAAAGATGGAACAGTAGAATGATGTTTCCTTCCTTTGCTTCGCTTTGTGAGTGACTGTGGGTTTTTCTTTGGGGTGTCTGGTGTAGCATTGGTCCACTTTTTGGTTTGGGCTGAAATGATGCATGGCTAATGTGGAATGTCATTAGGTTTTTTTTAAGTAGGTGTTTAATTGGATGGTAGAATAGGACTGTTTTAAAAGATTGCTTTTTATAGAGATGAACTTGTTGGTTGATTTTTTTTCGGTGTGAGGGGTTTATGTTTAACTTGCTTGAAGTTCTATGAAACCACTCGTGTTTGTATAGGAAGGAATGATGATCGTTGGAGGTACATGTTTACATAAATAGCAAAATAAAATAGATATGAGACTACATTCTGGTCATCTATTGTTTATACTGATAGCTAGCTTGATGATTTTTGTTGAGAATGTTGCCCTAGTTTCACATAATAATTGAAATTTCAAAGTGTTTAACCATGGAAAAGGATTTGCCTAGAACACACCTGAAATTCCACACAAATCATGTATGTCGAGTCTTTAACCTTTTTGTCTTCTCCAAGATCTACACACCTAAGACTTTGATCGTTGACAAGTTCGACCAATGCTTAATGGTTGAAGACAGTGGATCCAAGCGGCACCTGCAAAAACACCAATGGATATCAACGATTCCGTCTAATCCTTCCATGTCTATCATCAACGATGGAACATCCCCATCCCATCCCTTCAAATGCATCAGATTCCAGCACTTAAAAATAAGTCAGGGACACATGTACATATATATACATCCAAATGTAGATATACTAATAGATCTAACAAATCTACTTGTTTTTGTTGATAATGTTTCCACCTGACTGAAATAATAATAATTCGAAGTGCATAAAGGAAACGATTCGTTATGGAACACATACCTGTTTTCCCCAATAGATTAGAAGGATTTTCCTTTGATTTCTCCAAGATCTACATGTAAACTTAGTATCTTGACAAGTAGCACTACCCAATGATGGATGGTGGCCAACAACGGCGCAACAAGGCAACCAAGAACCCATCGCTTGCAAAGATCATCAAAAGGCAACATTGCCAACACACGACATCACGGTTTTGAAAAGTCGAGGACAAATAAATCATCGAAGGGCAAGATGGTGCCATGGTGGCGATGGCAACACCGACGACAGATCGATGTGGAAGGTGGCCCTCCACTAGGCAAATGGTGCAAGATCGGGGTGGTAGGCTTCGATTCATGTAGGGAGATGGCTATCTAGGAAGGAGATGCATACGGCGGCGGGGGGGGGGGGGGGTATGGGGAAGAAGATGGAGCGAGGAGGGGGAGGGCTTATATAGTAGGGTTTGGTTAGTTGCACGAATCTCAAGATAAAATCATCGGGCCAAAATGTCGCCCCATTTGTTGAGTAGTCACACGAATCTTAACACAAAATCGTCGGCCCTAAGGTATCACTCATTCTGTTAATAACTTTTTCACCCACTACAAAGATGATTTTCTTTGCAAATGTAGTAGGCCAAGCCTATTAAACATCACGCTACCCTTAGAATGCATTAGAAGATGATGGCACATTTATCATATATGATAAGAAAAAAAATATCTACGTGATTACCTACATCTATATTTGAAAATTTATTGTTCTGTTCGATAATAGCTTCCAAAGCCCCGACTGACTTTGTGAGATCAACATTTATGTGGAAATTAAATGCCCCTTCGTGTTATTTCGAAAAACTTATTTATGTAGAGTTTGGCTCCATAGGAGTATGTGTTAATCAAACTGGCCTTGAGTTACACACTTATTTGGTCTACAAGGCATGCACAGCAAAAAGAGCGGTACGCGTATCATCTAATGGAGCCACACCTTACATCTTGAGACTCTGATTATAGACTCTCCACTTCAACTGACCTGGCACGCCAGGCGCCATAAGGTCCATGGCAAAAACACCACCCATCCATGTTGAGTCTATAACACATATGTCGTCAACATGGTTACATCATGTCTATCTCCGTATTTATAGAGATGACCCAGGTTATAAATCTTGATACTAGCGGTATTCATTTACCACGATTAACTCAAAAGTCATCTTGCAACTTATTCGACACATATTCCAACAATAATCTTATACATCTAAGTCTGTAGTATGACAACACATTTCTTTTGCTTGATATATACACCGTTTTAAAAAATTACTGGCCATGAATCTAAATATTGGTATGTCCAAGTTTATAATTATACGCAAAGCCTGGGTACGGACTGCTTGATTACTTCTGTCGGGAGAGCAAAACGTCGTACTTCCCGGGTAGGGTTGTTTGCTCCATGAAGCATAATAGCCGTTGCAGGTTCAAAAACAGTATAGGTATAGACTACAGAGTGAACACGGCGTTTAGTTCAGTCTTGGAGGGAACATATGTTTTGAACTTCCGTTAGGATACTCCCTTTCTTAACGAGGTAGAGGCTGCCTCGAAGATGATGATCAAGCTACTAGCTAATACAGGCATGGATTGTTCGTGCCATATTTCAAAAGGTACAGTTTATTTAAAAATTTCCTGCAAAAGTATTTACAAAACAACTTTTCTCTAACCTATTCGTTAGAATTATAGAATTTAATTCATCCATACGAGCAATTTTCCTCAATTGATAATTTATCAAACCATCCTGTTAGAATGCGCCCTAACCTGAACGGACTCATCCCAGTTGTATTATGAGTGATCAAAGTTCAAAGCTACAATATATTTATACAATCTTGTACAGTCGTACTGCAACTGACCATTTCCAAAACATCTTTGAAGTGCATTTTGCTTCGGATTATAAGCCACATTAAGGGAATTTTTTGCACCACATATCTACCAAATTATTTTAAAAAAGAAGCTTCGCAAAATATGGAGGTACGAAATTCTGTGTGACCGAAAAAGGTTGTAGCCGTCTCTTTTGTCATGACTTCATGAGGAATCCTTTAAATTGCTTTGAGCTTTGTCACGCGCTCCGACAGGCGTTTTCACTCTGAAGCTGGACCATTCCGGGAGCCCTCTGAAGTGTTCTGAAGCTGAGCCCAGTAACCCACTGAAGTAAATGACACACATGTGACAGGTTACTGTAAGATCATCAGAAAAGACAAGGGAAAAAAAAACAAATTCAGAGATGTACAAATGACAGAAATATTTGGACAAGAACGAAGATAAACTTGATGAGTTTTCATCCTGACAGAGGACATGCTCCAACTTTTAAATTAAGCTCCAGGGGTTAAATCTAGAGTTGAGTTGTGTAGCAGCATAAACCCAGCTCCACCTCTCTAGTTCATTTTGTGAGAATGCTTCACCTAACTCCAGATGGGGCTGAAACTATTTACACTGTTTGGCTGGACTCCAGTTACAAAAAAGGTAAAGTTGTGCCAAACAGGCTCAGAAGTATCCAACTGCAGAGCTCCAAATGCAGTGGAGTTTCTCCATTTTCAGAACGTGCAAGACATTACAGAGATAGAGGATGCACGTGCAGCAGATCAGGAAATTATTATTGGGGATACTGTACCAGTTCAGACTCTTGTCTCACTTCTGTGCACGATCAAATCAGTGGCCCTCCATTTCTTGATTCTTCTTCCAGGAACTGAAAACTCCCCATTCACAACGAGCAACAGCATCGTACAGGAGCAATCAAGCTGTCAGGATGGCATTCTTCACTGTTTCATGGGTGAAAGTGAAATGCTTACAATTAAAAGAAACAAAGTCAATGGTTGCTGGTTCTTCCTTACTTACAGACTGACTGGCATCAGATTCTCCTAACTCCTCACAAAGGTACACACCATACAGCCAAGACAATTTACATATATACCTTTGTATAGCGAGCCTCCTCGGCGAGCTTAGCTGCTTACAGCTTCTACAAGCGGGGCAGCATGAACACCAAGGGCTCCACAATTTCTACAGCACTAGTAGTAACACACCAGTAAAGAATTTGTGCATGAGTGCAAGGTCATTTTACGTGGGAATCGTAAACGTCAAAAACAGTTTCAGGGATGACCGTGGGCAACTTGTCTATGTACATGAAGAGCCGCCTAAGATTTTCCTTTCGGACCGTCGCTATGTCCACTATGTCCCTGTTATCTGTATATATCCATAGGTCGGCCGAGTTCACTCTCTTGAGACTATCGCGGCAGAATGGACAAGACTGGGATCTTGATCTCCTGCAATGAAGAATACATGATAAAGTATACTTCCTCCGTACCATAAAAATTGAATTTTTACCTTTGAACCTTTATCTCATAAAAATTGTATTTCTACTGATGTGGGACCAATTAAACTGATTACATTTCCTTGTAATCTTCTTTCCTTCCATCCCATCTCTAACCTATTATCTCAACATTCCTTTTAATCACATTTATATATGGAATTTATGCATGTACTACGTTCATTAAATAGGGTTATTATAGTCATTTGTCTATCCTCCTAATATGTTCTTAATTCCATAGAAATTCAATTTTTATGGGACGGAGGTAGTAAGAGTTAGAAAGGTGCCATATTTGCAGATAGTTCATGTTAGGATTATTGAGAACTACATGCTAGAGATACAAATGACATGCTAAGATCAAAATATATGTAACCTGCAGTAACTCAAGCCCTTCTTTGCGCTATAACAGTATGCCAGGATTTACAATCAACTAGTACTAGTTCGAACTTAGCAATGCTCAAGCTGCTAATGCAGAATAGTCAAAGAGTAAAAATGTTCTCCACAAAATTATTACCAAAAAGAATAGACTGAATAACTGATAGCTATGTGCCAGGGTACCCCATGAAAGCAGATCTGAGACTTTGAATCACTTAATATGCCAACATACAACCGGCAGCAATTGGCTAATAGTTCTGGCATGGCTAACAGTTTGGCTATGCTGAGCTTTACCCACACCAGTATTGCCTTCTCAATTGAGGTAACATTAACGCGTTATTATCCAAGTTGACAAGATTCATTTCTGAATGTCTCAAGGCATTATGTGCATTAAACAGTGTAGATTTTATAAATTAGGGAAAATTAGGAGGGCCAATTTTCTGGATTAAGTCACACCTCCACCATTTCAATCACTATTCTTTACTTCCTGTATCAAAGATCCAAAATTTTGAACATTTGAACCAGAAATTAATAAACCTGAAAGATAAATATGTCACTGAAAGCAACCAGCCATTTAATAAGAACTGAAATGAGGTTGCTCCATTCCATTAGAGATTGTTAACCACATAGCCTCAAAGGCTCCAATTAACAACTACCACCAGCAAGTTTCCAGAACATGAACTAGTAGTACAGTAGCTAGCAAGCTAAGACCAATCCACTGGGACCTTCAGCCTTCAGGGAACCCAAAAACGAACTCTGTTTATTTTTTCCGTAGATAGAGGATATGAATAATATATACACCCCTTTACTTTAAATGTCTTTGTATCTATTTTTTAATCATCTGTGACCCTCTATCTTTTAGAATATCATCCGTGGGTGGGGTAAGGTTGGAGGACCTTCAATGACTAAGTCAACAGGCCAAGCCCTGTTTCAGGATTAGAAGAAGCAGTGGTAGGTTCTCCATCAGAAAGGCATGGGACATCAAACTCTTGAGCTTTCTTTGAATAAGTCTTTCACTTGTCCAGGCTCAACAGAATTAATGATTTAAATCGCAAGCCGCAGAGAGTTCAAGGAAGCACAAAAGGGTCCAATTTTTTATTAGTAAGCACATAGGAACAGGGTAATTCTTTCATTTGATTCTAATAAATTGAAGGAATCGAAATATTACTGGCACACCATGATGGTTAGCAACAGTCTCATTGTTTTAATTAATTAAACTGAAGATCCAACATGTAATTTTCATCATGCAGAAGTGCTATTGCTATACAGCTAGAGAAACATAAAAGATATTTTCTGAACTGAACCCCCTTATACAATATAAACGCCACAGAGAGAAGAGTGAAGATGTGTACCAGTCACGGTAGCATTTAATGCACATAGCATGGCTACAAGTTGGAAGAACTACTTTGCCATTTATCTCCATACATATGCCACATTCCTCCTCGATGTTATCATCAATCTCTGAAATCACCATTTTCTGATCTTCATCTCGTCTTCTATATCTTTCTATACAGATTGCCTTTTGTTTCTTGTCTTCCACTTCATTGATCCCTTCATGTAGTTGCATCAAAGAAGGAAATATGACAGCTGCAGAAAAAACCCCAACACTAATGAAAAAAAGAACAGTTCAAGAAATATGTGTAAAACAATAGGATATCCAAAGTACGCACTATACCATAGAATTCCCTAATGCTTGCTTTCCTTTCATGAGCAGACATGGTGGTAGTCCCATCAGCATAAACCTGTATAGTTAAGATTAACCATGGCTCCTAATAAAGCAGAAAGAGCATTAGAAAGGAACTTGGCTAAACAGGACTGTTCTCAACCTTATAAATGAGAATCCTCAACAGCCCAAGTGCACCAGCAAGGTTGCAATCTGTCCACTGCACAAGAAAAAGGAAGAAGTGTGCAGCTGGACAGTATGACATTCTCATCTGAAGACAGGCGCCATCATATTCCCTTCTAAATTCAGCAGCACTGCATTTTTACAAACAAAATAATTTAGTCTAACTATTGTAAAACAATGATCTTAGGCAGCTCAGTAGCTAGACGGCTGTAGAGCTTTATCCAAAAATAACTATTCAAAGTTTGATGTTTGGAGTAGAGCTGAATGTCTCATGAGACTCAGGTGACTTTCTGCAAGTTTGATATACATGGTACGGTAGGACTTCTGAATCTTCAATAAAAGGACTTGTATCACAGTATGGGGGTATTAACAATATGGTCGATGTTATACGTGAATGGCTAAAAATATGGTTGCAGACCTATGCTAACAGTTTGCAATAGGTGTACTCAAATCAACAAACCATTTGTCATCATTCTCTACATATAAAATTTGAAAACTAAATAAATAAATGTACTCTCATGGCTACTCCGTGCACATGTTTATTGAAAGTTGAAATTTCAGAAACAATTAAGGCACCTGGTACATAGACTCAATATTTCAACTCATCTGTGATACATTGTAAAAACCTTGGAATAGATCTATTAAAGCAAATAAATTAGTTGTCAGGAATGTAAAACACTTGTTTTCAACCTGTCACTTGGTTATTTCTGAAAAAAAAAACAAATTAAACATGCACATTATCTCCACAATGAATAGAAAACAACTCCATAGAGTCATATTTTGTATATGCAGCTCCAACCAAAAGATGTAACAGCAACATGGATCATAGAAATCACCATTTACTAACTGGACATCTCAATCATTAACCAACATGGACCCTGGTTCATAGACTGATGAATGTCTCAAGTTTCAACAAGTCTCTTGACACATTGTAAAAACATCAAAACAGGTCTATCATACCAAACATAGTAGTTGTCAGGAATGTAAAATATGCTCTCTGCCTGTCACTTAGTTATTTCATAAAAAAATACATTAATATATTGCTTCTTTATCTCCACATAGGACAGTAAGCAACAACTCTATAGGGGTCAAGTGAAATACTAAATTACCATGGCCAACATAGTAACATGAGAGCCATATTTTTTTTACACAGCTCCAACCAAAAGATGTAACAGCAACATAATAAAATTCATGATCAGTAGTTAGTTGGGCCAAATGATATTAGCTCTTAGTGTGTAGCGCATGTTGTGGACAACAATTTCCAAATACGGCTTTCAGAACACACGATGATAGCGAATTGTGATGAACCAGCAGCACAACTGCATAGCACACCGACAACAACAAAAAAGAAAACCTCATGATGACAAAACCAAAGTAGTACAAACAGACCTGCAAGGCCAAAGGAGATAGCTTTGGCCACTTAAGCAGTATATCTGGTGACAGGTGTCACTGCAGCCATGAAAGGCCATTACCAGCAGAAACTTTCAGTACTACTGAAGCAATATAAACAGGGAACACATCCAAGGTATCGCAAGTCCTAACATATATGCCTATTAAAATGTCTAACCACAAATCGAGGTGACTAAGAAAATGTCAGCTTGATACCTTCTAAACAGTCTCCAACTAGACTGACCATACTGAGCAGTGAACATCAAACATCACCACCAGTGAGATCACATTTGCGCCGCCAGCAACGTCCCCATAGAGTAATCCTAATGTACCCCCATCCAAGCCAGCCCCCAAATCAACACACAACAAGCTCAACGAATTTCAGAAAGCACACATCAATACTATCTCACAGCAGGAGCAGCAGCCTCTACCCTCAGCACTGGACACAGGAAGAACACAAGCAGGAGGAGGAAGAGGAAGATGAAACGGGCGAGCTGAACTCACAGCGAGTTGGCGTGCTGGATGTCGGCCTCGAGCACCTTCAGCGAGTCCCTGAACGACCTGCCCATCGACGAACTCCGCCGCCGCCGTGACCATCCACCAAACCCAAAACCTCCCCCCGAACCCTACCTCCCGATCTCGCAGCGTCACCTCGCCGGCTTCCTCCTCCTCCTCCGGTGGTGTACGGCTCGGCTCGGGGTCAGGTCAGCTCAAGCGGCGGCGGTCAGTGGGGCGAGGCAATTTAAAGCGGGGGATGGGTGCCTTGCGTGCACGGGAGGGAGGCCGTACTACGGAGTCGATGACATGTGGGGACAGCCACCCCGGGCCCACGCGTCGGTGACGGCGGGGGCGGTGGGGACAGCCGCGTGGGGCCGGACGTCAGTGAGTGTGGGTAGGGTGGCGATGAGACATGGCCCGGTGGGAGGGGAGGGGTGGGGCCCAGGGAAGGTTGCCACGTTCGCTTCTGGAAGGTGCGATGAGCTCGCTAGCTAACCCCATGTCCGTTTTTTTTGTTTTTCTTCTAAACTTTTCTCTCCCCATCCGATTCAACAGTCCGTGATAAGAAACATTACGAGCACACGTATGTAATCACAGGGGAAATTCCAGTGTTTACCAACAGCCTCAATGTTTGTCATATTGTCCTCTCAAAAAAAAACGTTTGTCATATTGAAGAAAAAAAATCGAAACAGTATATTTATAAATAAAAAATAATTTATAAATAAAACTTTTATATGTGTGTTCTTAACGGTTTAGAAGCAAAGCTAAAAAATAAGCTACGATGAAAAAACCCTCAAAATCAACTCTAAATTTAAGGTTGAAAAATTTAAATTTTAGTTGATAAGCATAAGCATAAATAAAAATACGAGGCTGCAAGTTCTAAAATCCAAGATGATTATGGTGCAAACTTTCATAACTGCGTTAATAGCAGCAATTCAAAAACCGGAACTGGGAAAGTGACTGCCATGGAAAAAAATACAAATTAAACTCTAAAATTGAGTTTCACATTTTAAAATTTGACTTTGGATGACAAGCTAAGATGATTGTGGTGCAAACTTTCAAAACTGACTTATTAACAATTTTCAAGCCGATGCTGATAAATAGACTATGTGAGAAAAAACTTTTAACCCGGGTTTAAGTTTTAAATTTGACATGGATGCTTGCATTTAAACCTAATTATCCCTTCAGTGGTAGGCGTTACCCGTCAATAGCGAGACGTCCGTGATGATTTAGTCAATCTCAAGATACGTTGGTCCAATTTTTTTTTTGAAGGTGTTCACAGTTTTACAGGTTTAGGATGTATATATGTGTTCATAAAGGTGAATGTGTGAGCATTTTTGAGTGTCTGTGTTTGCAGTGTTTCTTAAAAAAAAAGGTTTTTAAACCGTGGATGATAAACTAACAAGGAAACGAGTGAGGCTCCCCTTACCCAGCTCCTTTCGCTGTCGAATTTGGTGCCATTTTGTGTGATTAACCTGCTTGCACGCGGATGGGATTGTGTTCATTAGTTCTATGTTTCCCTTGTCACGAGGCTAATGCTGGTTTCCCAGGGATCGAGTGGATGGTTATGGTTACATGAGTAGTTTGGGAAATTGAGGAGCATTGAGAACAGTAAAATTAGCAGTATCAACCACTAATGCAAATGGATGGCATGATTGGAGGATGCTTTTAGTCTGAACAAGTGGTAGGAGGATATTTTTCCTTGGTGAAAAAAAGGATGCAATGGTGCATGAATGTGAGAGGCAATGTGAGTTACAAGTAAAGTGATGACCTTTTTTGTCTTCTGGCATGAAAGTTGTCGGAGCAATCACACACCCACCTTCATCAAAAAAGATCAAAATATCTTTGCTTAATCACATTACTCTTGAGTTCTCCAAAAGATTTCATGTCATATCAACTGTACATTGAGTTGAATTGCAGCAATTTTTTTTCACTTTTCAGCACTGAAATCATCTTGCGAAATGGGAGATGACAGGGAGTCGCACCCAATTTTGTGTAATAGTCAAATACAAGCAGTTTAATTATGTTTCAAAAATTCGAAATCAATACCTTGCTTTAACCATACCCATCAAGATCGCTAGAATAGTTTTGGCTAAATTCATGGATGGTGCTAAGAACACGCAGTCCACAAAACCACAAGATCATACACAGTGCTTCAATTTAAACAAATTTAGCTTTAGGTCCAGCTTGGTAGGGCTCTCTATCTTGAATCTGCCTCTTTCAATGCGCGGATGAGATGGGTGATACGGTACTGGAGCTTCTCGTTCTCTATGATTAGCTTCTTGTTCTACAGAGATCGTTCATAGATATGGTTATATATCAAACAGCTGTATGATGGTGACAATTGGTGACATTTTCAAGCTAGATGAATACCTTTTCCTTTTCAGCAAGACATTCTGTGTTAACTGCATCAAGCTTTGACTGAAGATCTTTCACGGCTGATGAATTTGTCTCTGAACCACTCGTCAGGCCATCTGATAAATCAACCATGTAAACGAACAATGAGGCATTTCTCTTACCAACAAGCACCTGTGAAATGCTACACCCATATTTAACTTACCTTTGTTCAGCAGCAAGGCTTCCAGCTTTGCTAAACGTGTCTACAAGATGAAAGAAACAGCGTAAGATATGGGAACAAAACATTGAGAAGACCACCTGTACCTATTTCGCATTCGTGTAACCACAGCAACCAAGCCAGATGAGAATGCCATTGCTTTCGATGCGTGGCTGGTCAAACACATCAATTCATGCTGACTGACAATAAAGAAACATAGCCATGCGGCATACCTCCCAGGACAACTATCAGTCTAAAACCACTGAGTTATCCAGTAGACGTTGGTAGGTATTAGGTAATACAGCAACAAGCCAAATTCTCAATCTAATTTAGGCACTTGCCGTGGCATGGGGGAAAGCTAGTCCTATACTGAAAAGGATCGCGATTTGTAAGTCTGAGGCATACATTAGAATTTATTAACATATGGAATTAGGTTGTCTCTATTAAAGCAGACCGGAGGTGAGAACTTGTCTTTATGTAGTACATATCACGCAGACCTCGCCCTAAAACATCATTACCACCATACTCTAGATAACGCAAAAATTGTACGTTTTTTCGAAGTTTCCTCAGGTTCTTTCATGCCAAAACTTTCAATTGGTGATCATATGGATTATCCACTGAAATCAGGTAACACCACCAAGTCATAAAAGGATAATATAAGAGCAAAGGGAATCTAAAATATGCTAGCACTAGCTACTAGTTCATCGCTCAACCGATTTGACTTTGCTCCAAATCAAGCCCACCATACGAACTGACCATCTATGTTCTAGTTTCTGGAAAAGTAAAAATTCTTACTAGTTCCATTTACTTCCGCTCTTAGCAACAACGAACGAATTTAACAACTTAATAACCTAATAACAACTCTGACCACAGCGAAACGAAGCGCGGATAGACGACGGTCAGGAACTCAAGGATACGAGAGCGCGAACCTCGGCATCGGAGGCCCTATCGTGGAAGGGCCTGAGGGCCTCCTCCAGACCCGCCGCCGCCGCCGCCGCCGCCATGCTCGCCGCCGGTCGACTGAACCCCTCGAATACCCTCTCCTTGGACTCACTACTGGGAGGAGACTTTTTTCTTTTTCTTTTTTTTTTTTCAGTTAATTGGGATTTGGGGAATGGTCGAATCGAAGCTAAACGATGGGCTCGGATACGGCCCGGTAAAACTGTGAGTCTGTGAGGCCTTCAGGCGGTGTAGCATAAAAAAAAAGTCCATAAAATAAAGGTGAAAAGTTTATTTTGGTCTCCCTCGGTTTAATTACCATCACTCAACCCCGGAACCAGTTATACACAGTTCCCTCAGTTATCAAAAGCAGTTTTATTGTGTGTCTCTTTGCGTGTGGACGAGGTTTTTTTTTTCATAGGTGCATTTTCTCCATCGACGTTCGTCGGAGCTCCACCTAACAATTACTATTCTAGAGCATTTTAAATATCATACAAACATAACACGTCATCTAAAATATAATATTGTAAAGTTCAACATACAATTACGTCGAATCATCTTCCTCCATAATTTTCACAACATTTTAAATCATCATTTCTATAATGTTTTACTAGCACTTATTCATCCGTAAATTTCACAGCAAGAGACATATCACCTAGTTTCATCTAGAGTCATGTCTTATCGTTGTGATTCCTCCCATGCTACAAGCCCCATAGTTTGGGTCGCTGCGAGTTTCTCGCTGAGTCAGACAGCTAGTGCGTGTGAGTTGGCATCGGAGCTTTAGCAACGTGTCTATCGCCTCAGCACCCGAGTCTGACAGTGACAAACCTACCTCGACTACATCACCACAGTGTAGACCTTCTCATCTTTGTCAACACTTCCAGATTTGGCGAAGAGAGACGGGCGAAGCCTCATCCAAACGCCGCCACCCTCGTGGATGCAACGAGCACAAGCTCCTTTCTAGGAGTACGGTCGTCAACGAGCTCAAGCTTGCGAAGCACAATATAGAGGCAAGCACTCATATAAACTGTACACTCACCACTATAAACACACGCACAAACACATATTAACCCCTACAAGTACCTCTGACCGCTTCTTTAGCACATCAACAACCTCAAGCATGTTTGGCTCTGTTACGCTTGCAAAATTATGTGCCTACAAGCGTGCCATACATTTGTCATAGTAGAGAATAAACATGTCCATATAAGAGAATTGACGTGATTTAAAATGCAACAAACGTGAAGTTAGCTAGTCCAAAATAAAAAGCTTGGATTAAGGGTGTTCAAAAGTGAAACTTATACGACAAAAGGTGGCTTAAAGTAAAATTCACTCAAATCGATGGAGTAAATTAACGATATTGTCTATGCATATTGCTTCCTTTGTCCTTACTGACATTATTACCTCAGAGACGTATGACAAATAACAAATACCAAAACTGTAAAAATGTATTAGAACGGTTCAGATTTTAACAGCCCAAATAGCAATGGATTTTGGCCAAAATAAAGAGCTTTTAGTAATAAAAGAAAAACACATATATCTAATAAAATTAGTTGAATACCCAAAATTTTACTAGTAATTTTATTTCTAGCAACCATTGATCCAAATCGAACGACCGAGACTCCCTGACTTGGCGCCAGGCAAAACCACCATAAATAACGGCGCCCCGCGAAATCCCATTTCCCTCTCCCCTAAAACCCTAACCTCCGAAGTCGCGCGGTCGCCGCCGCCGACGAACTTTGCGGCGGCGATGGCGCTGTACCTGCTCTTCGAGTCGGCGTCGGGGTACGCGCTGTTCCACGCCCACGGCGTCGACGAGATCGGGCAGGGCGTGGACGCCGCCCGCGCCTCCGTGCTCGAGCTCCAGCGGTTCAGCAAGGCCGTCAAGCTCGCCGGCTTCTCCCCCTTCTCCTCCGCCGTCGACGCGCTCAACCAGTGCAACGCCATCTCCGAAGGTACGGCGCCTTCTCGCCTCCGCCGATCCCCTGCTCGCTCTCCTGAATGATTGATAGGTGATGCGATGGTTGAGTGGTCGTGTGCAGGGATTATGACTGATGAGCTGAGGAGCTTCCTGGAGCTCAATTTGCCCAAGGTGAAGGAGGGGAAGAAGGCTAAGTACAGCGTCGGGGTCATGGAGCCCAAGGTCGGGTCCCATATCTCCGAGGCCACCGGGATCCCCTGCCAGTGCAATGAGTTCGTCCAGGAACTGCTCCGCGGAGTGCGGCTACACTTCGATCATTTCATTGATCAACTCAAGGTTGTTGATTTCACATTTGCGCTTGTTTCTACTGTATGTTTGATGACATCGTATTGTAACTGATCTGAATAGGGGCATGTGGCCATGTGGGGGTGGATGGTAGCACTATGCCTTCTGCAGTTCTGCACTGGTGCAATCTCAGTTACTGCAATAGTATTGTGTCGCTGATCGATGTTTTGATGCTTATACTGCACTCGGAAAACTTGAAGTCCTGATCAAATTACAAATTCTAATGCTCCTAGCTTAAATTTTATTTTGCGTGAATTTGGTCTGTAGAGTTACTGACTATAGGATTTTACTACTTGCTGCTTGACATAGCATCTTTGTTATCCAATGCAACTTTACTAGACTATGAAGTGATTTGCCTGGAACTCCATACAGAGAGGTTCTGCATTATAACCCTCTGTTATTGCTACCATGTTTGTTGGACTGCAATGCTTTGATGCTTTCATATGTTCCTTGCATAAAATGGTTTTTTTCCTGTTATTGTTTGTTTACTTGCTCCTTTGTTTTCGATTGCAGCCAACTGACTTGGAAAAGGCTCAGCTAGGCCTGGGGCATAGCTATAGCAGGGCAAAGGTTAAGTTCAATGTGAACCGTGTGGATAACATGGTAATTCAAGCGATTTTTTTGTTGGATACACTTGATAAGGATATCAATTCCTTCTCCATGAGAGTGAGGTTTGTTGCCATCTTTTGCTTAATTTACATGTTCATTGTTTAGTGATTTTTATTTAGATTTTTAGATGTTGTGACTGGAATTTAATCACCTCAATTATGTTTTGATGCTGATGTGTCCTGAAAATATTCTAGTTGTTTGTTCTTGATTTCATTTGCTCCATGGTATCCCAGATTGTCTTTGGTTATATTTTGGTATCTTACTCCTAGAAATGCTATGCCGTGGGCATGCAGTTATACCATCTTTACATTCACATGGTCCAGCTGAGAAAGACTGGACCACCAGCATGGCCTCTCTATTTATCCTTTATGGTTAAATTGAATTTGCTCGATTCCTCTGATCACATTCATCCTCTTTGTATCTCTGCTGAATGTTCGAGTGAGTTCTAATGCAATTTAATATTTTTCCATGTATCTAAATGTTAAATTCTCAAGTATGGGTACTTCTGGTGTAGTGGTATACCATGTGGAGGATTCCTATAACATGCTGCAAGTGCATGCGACGTTTATGACTGGAACACTCTCATGTATATCTGTATTAGTTGTGATTACAATTTGGTTCTTTGTCAAGCCTCTTCTTTCCTCTCTTTTATGCAATGATAAATTCAGGTGGGGAATCTCTCCCCCCCCGGTGAGTTAGTCAAAAAAAAAAAATGTAAAGCTATATGCCATCGAGATATCAAACCGTCCACATGGCATTATCTCATGTTTTGTTATGCTTGTGATGGGCGTGGTAACAAACTTATTTTTACCAATTCTGTTGACGCAATACGTTTAAAATACTCTGTGCGATATTGGTATCGATGTAATAAATTGGTGCTTAACCACAATGCAGGGAATGGTATTCTTGGCATTTTCCTGAGCTGGTCAAAATCGTGAATGATAACTACGTTTATTCTAAGATTGCAAAGTTTGTGGTGAACAAATCTGATTTAGCAGAAAAAGACATCCCAGCTTTAGCAGATATAATTGGAGATGAGGACAAGGCAAAAGAAATTGTTGAAGCAGCAAAGGCATCCATGGGTAACTATAATACAATTTGCTCCATAATTGAGTATGTCCCTAATAGTCGCAGTAGTGGCTTCTTTGCAGTTCACTTATGTTCTCCATGGTGTTTTCAGGCCAGGATCTTTCACCAGTTGATTTGATCAATGTCCAACAGTTCGCTCAAAGGGTCATGAATCTATCTGAATACAGAAAAAATCTTTATGAGTATCTAGTAACAAAGATGAATGACATTGCACCAAATCTGACATCATTGATTGGTGAAATTGTTGGAGGCTTGGAGCTCGGTTAATCTCTCATGCTGGCAGTCTTTCAAATCTTGCGAAGTGCGCTGCTTCCACTCTTCAAATTCTTGGCGCTGAAAAGGCACTTTTCAGGTACTTAATACTTATGATCTTCTTATCTTCTTTCAATCCCTCATTGGTTATTGTCAGTTCCTTTCAAAGTCTTTTAAAGTGAAATATTTCAAATCTTTTTACCTTTATGATCTGTGAAATCTTACGATTGCTCTCTCCATTTAACTGCAGAGCTCTGAAAACTCGTGGTAACACACCCAAGTATGGCCTCATATTCCACTCATCTTTTATTGGCCGTGCGTCAACTAGGAACAAGGGCAGAATAGCTCGATACCTGGCAAATAAATGTTCCATTGCCTCACGCATCGACTGTTATTCAGGTTAGTTGAGAACTTTGTTAGCATGCTTTACACATGGTTATTATCTGATCTATGTTTTTCTCATTTGATTGTGGATTCCAGAGTTGAATACCTCAGTTTTCGGTCAGAAGCTGCGCGAACAAGTTGAGGAGAGACTAGACTTCTATGACAAGGGTATTGCACCGCGTAAGAACCTTGATGTGATGAAAGCTGCTATTAATGATATGACAAATGCCGTCTCAGAGGATGGTGGTGGTAAGGGCTCTTTGTTCATTCATATCTGTCAGATTGGTACAACTTGTATTTCATGTAAGCATATTAATTTTTAATTTACACGCTGGCCAAAAAAATTCTTTCAGAAAAAGAGAAGAACGACACATCTGCTAAGAAAAATAAGAAAAAGAAGTCTAAAGCTGAAGCTGATGGTGAAGAAATGGACCTTGATAAGCCTGCCAAGGTTGCTGCAGAAGAGACTGATCCAGAAAATGAGAATAAGAAGAAAAAGAAGCACAAGCTAGAGGAGCCACAGGATCAGGAGATGGCAGTCAATGGCAATCTCGAACAAGATGAAACTCCCAAGAAGAAGAAAAAGAAGAAGCCGGAGGCTTCAGAAGATGTTGAGCCTAGGACAGCCACTGAAGGAAAGAAGAGAAAGAAGAAAAAGTCCAAAACATTGTTGATAATGAGTCATGATCAACTTAAGTGTCAAGGATAACATTGCTGCTCTGGTTAGAGCTTCCTTGTAACATTGCTGCTGTTCTGGGTATCAAAATTCTAGTTAGGGCCTAGGGGTTCCTCTAAGAGTTACATGTGATGCATATCACCTTGGATGGAGCCTTTTCTTTTCAGATAGCTTAATTACCATCTTATCGTAGTATCGCCTGTGAAATCCCAAACATGTATACAAGTTTGCATTGTAATCTGACTCATGGGGCAGCACATGTCCTTGTTGCCAGTCAAGAATGTTGCAGGTTTGTGTTGCAGCTAGCTAATCACTTGCGTTGCAGAGATGATGCAAAACTGCGTTTGCTCTTGCTCCTCCTCCTCTTGATCTTCCTGTCTGATGCGAGGTTCTTCTTCCTGTCTACTTCAAGGGTGTTCTTCCTGTCTACAGCGAGGTCCTTCAGTACCTGTTCGACTTCTTGAACAACACCAAGTCTTCTGAGCCATCCTGCAAGCAGCTGAGAAGGTTCTTGGCCAATAATAACGCCGTTCTCCTCGAGCTCTGTCAAAAATGCCAGTGCTCCTTCTAGCCTGTTCACCTTCTCATAAGCCCCCAATATCAAAGCAATGCATTTGTTGCACGGTGTGATTCTCGCGCTTCTCATATTCCGTGTTACTATCATCGCTTCGTTGATTCGATCCGCGAGGCAGTAAGCATTCACCAGAAGTGCGCAAAGCTTTGTGTCAGGTACTATCCCTGCGAATTGTATGGCATCGAAAACTCGCTGTGCCCCTTCTGAATCGCCTTTGTATGAATAGGCTCTCAGCAATGCCTTGTAAACTTCCTTTCCTGCAACAATCTGCTGATCCCCCATTTCACTGATCATGTCTTCTGCTTTGTCTAACATGTCAGCCCTGATGTAAGCCATGATCATTGAACCGTATACACGCTTATCCATCGGTAGGCCAAGCAATCCGATCTCGTTGAAAATTTCTTTTGCACGAGTGAGATCTCCGGCTTTACTGTACATGTCCATCAGTGCAGTCAACATAACTTGATCGCAAGGCAAACCTCTGCTTTTCATGGCATGGAATGCATCCTCAGCTTTCTGCAATAGCTTTTGTTTGCCATATATGTGGATCAATTTGGTGTAGTCACGGACATTTGCCTCAAAAGAATCCTCCAGCAATGCATGCTCGAGCACCTACAAAACATATACACTATTTGTTAATTAATTTGTTAGGACACAAGCTTTAAAGCCAATTACCACCAATGCAGCTCAGAAGTTCAGATATTCAGATCCAATGTACAGCAAAGAGTTCAATTCAGAATTTCAGAAATGTTTAACCCAACATCCAGTAACTTCAGAAATGTTTAATAAAGGGTTCCTCGATAATGTCCTTGAGCCAATTTGGTGCAAACAATGATCATTTGAGCCAATCACATTCCCCAAGAATGTCATTCAGCCAATTTGGTGTCAGCAATGATCATTTAAACTAATCACAGCAGCAAGCAGAGATTCATTCCAACCAAACAAATGGCAAGAAATAAAACATAATGAATCCTAAATACTTAAAAAAAACATGAAATCTATTGTTCCCTATGTGTTCCACTACTTCAGCAAGCATTAGACCAGCTCAAGATCCCCATTTTGCTACCAAGATTTAGCAGCAAGACTCTGAAATGCATACTGACCTCAGCAAGGAGAGGGCTCTCCATAGCCGTGAGCTCCTTCAGCACCAGCAACCAATCCGTCCTCTTGGGCTTCATGGCTTTCACCCAGAACACGAGCAGCGCACCAAGAGTCTCCTCATCCTCATCTCCATCCTGATCAGGAGGAGGCAAGCACACGAGGCGCGCCATCAGGGCCCTACAGCGATTGGGAAGCTTGGGGGAGAGCCCCCGAATCGCCTCCCACTGAGGCTCCGACGGCGCTGACCCGAACGTGTCCCACCTGAACCTCGGCGTCTCTCCCGCCGCCGCCGCCGCCTGCTCGGCCTTCATGGAAGCTAGTGGCTGCTCCGCTACTTGCCGACCGGGCACGCACGCGCACGCGCATCGGGAAGGCGCCCTGGCGTGCGTGGTGGCACTGGGAAACTGGGAGGTCAACGAGTATATCGCCGGAACAGCCAGCGAGATCATCGGAGAAGGGACGAGACGGCGGAGGAGAGCTCGCCGGAGAAGGCGAGGACAGTGACACTATAGCCGAAGGAGAAAAGTTCTATCCAATGTTTAGAGATTGCTGCCACTTTTGAACCCCCACTGAAATTTAGCAATGTTAAATTTCAGGAGTATTTGGTTTTAAGCCTTATGGCCTTATTTAGATTTAAAAATTTTTGATCAAAAACATCACATCAAATGTTCGGACACATGGAACAATAAATGTGAGGAAAAAACAATTGCACAGTTTGCATGTAAATTGTGAGACAAATCCTTTGAGCCTAATTACGTCATGATTTGACAATGTGATGCTGCATTAAACATTTGCTAATGATAGATTAATTAGGCTTAATAAATTCGTATCGCAGTTTACAGATGAAATCTGTAATTTGTTTTTGTTATTAGTATACGTTTAATACTTCAAATGTGTGTCCGTGTACTTAAAAACTTTACACCCAAAGAACTAAACACACCCATACATCAATTTTTGGAGATGTTCATAAGAATGAAAGCTCTTGAAATTACCAAATCTTAATACAGTATGATAGTATTGATTAAAATACTTCTGGTTTTCCTACTGAAAAAATGGCAAGAACAAAAACGGTCCTAAATAAAAACATAAATTTGAATGCCAAAATTGAAAGAAAACAAATCAAACATACTGCCAGTATAATCCTAAAACTAAATGCTACTGAAATTTACTTATAAAAACTGTACTTAATTTTGATAGTGTCAATAAACACCACCTAGCCTCAACTGAACTTATTTTTTTTAAAGACTAGCAAAATGCCCGTGCATTGCAACGGATGAAAACAATATAATTTTAATAATTAATCTGTCACATGGTAAATCATCCATTTCAATCATTGACACTTAATAAATAATACGTGAAAATATTTAGAAATACATCAACATGATTGTTTATTAATAATATTTTTCCTTTAATAATTTTACCTTACATTTTATTATGTTCTCACCTATATATAAATCTATATTTTTCTTTAGTTTTATGTATGAATCATACTTAAAATTTATAAAAATATTGAATTCATATTGTTTCTAACATTCTATTGTTATTAGATTGTACTTGACATATATCATTTTGTTTTTTTATTCTAAACTATAGTTGATTTGAATTTATTAATTACCTAATTTAAATATCTATATTATTAGTCTAAATTATTTTTAAAATTAAAAATATTAAAATATTATAGATATATCACAATGTTTTAGGGACGGGAAGACAAGTACGTTCAATGGTTTCAATTTATAACCTGATAAAGAAAGAATGTTAAATTAGATTCATGCCAAGTGGCACAAATGTCTTAGAAAATTTATAACCTGATAAAGAAAAAAAAGTTAAATTAGATTAATGCCAAGTGTCACAGTATATCCTTTAGAAAATTTTGTGGAATAAAAATTACTTATAAGAATATACCTTGATAGAAAGATATTTTGTGTGACTATGGGTAGTTTGTGGTCTAGATTCTTCTTAAGAAATTTACGTGAGTTTGGATGAGTACAAATTATGTGAGCTTACATTTTTCGTTCTAAGGGTGTTTGGATGAGATTCAGTAACCAAATTACATATGCTAAAAACGGAAATCAAAATTAACAACTTGAAAGTAGGTGGAGCTGGGCAGAGGCAGATCTAACCCTGTTTCGGTTGAACCCCCAAACTTTTTGAGGGATAACGCAGAATACCTGATGAGGTGTGGGTAGGGAGGGATGCTCACCGGCGAGCGACGATGCGGTGGAAGCTAGAAGAGGACGCCGGGCGCCACCTCTGCTCGCAGGATGGGGATCGGCGCAAGCGGCGGGCGAGGAGACGAAATTCGAGGCCGAGGCCGAGGCCGGATGGGATGGATTAGGATGCTCACCGGTGAGCGAATGCGGCGGGAGCAGGAGGAGGACGCCGGCGCCGCCTCTGCTAGCAGGATGGAGATCGGCGCCAGCGGCAGGCGAGGAGACGGGAGTCGAGGGCGGCGGGCGAGGAGACGGGACGGATTGGGGAGGCGGAGGGCGTGCACGCGGTGTCGCCTGCCTATGTATGGGTCATATGCACAGGCCCATGAGGCTTGAGTTTTTTCATCTCCCAAAAACGTTCATCTAAGGTCCCTTATCTTGTCGTTGAGTTTAAAACGACCCTAAACCCCTAATCTTGCAAAACGGATCACTTTTAATCCTAACAAGCTAGTATTGCTTTTCGGTTTTGTTGACGTGGTGGCTGAGTCAGTGTAGGACCCACGTGGACCCCACAAGCCAACCAGCAACAGCAATCTTCTTCCACCTCACTCCCCTCTACTCCCATCTCAACCCAAACCTCCAGGGCATTCGCCAATGGGTGGGGAGAAGGGTGTCGGTCGGCGGGGAAAAGCTCGACGGCGGAGGCCACCAGCTGACGTGGCTCCCAATGACCGGGAGCGCTCACGTCATGGACTTGCGCACGTGCGGGGTGTGGCGCGGGTCCCAACTACAACTGCAATGTCGTCTTCACCGGCACGCGTGAGGGCTGGGGCTTCCACCTCATCACGCTGGCCAAGCTCCTATCCCGGGCTTCCGCCTCGTCACGATGGCCAAGCTCCTATCCCCCAGCTCATAGTCGCCCCCATCGAGCGGCTCAAAAGCCGATGTGTTTAGGTGTCCCCGAGCTTCGCCTCTCCTCCGCAGAGGCGAACGCGCAGCTCCACCGCATCGTCTTCAAGGTCAACTCCATCTACTCCACGTTGCGGTCGCATCGTCCTCGATGCATGCGCTCTTTTCCCCAACGCTTGCCACCGCCAAGCTTATTGTTCGCTGCCAGCCTTCTCCCCACCCATCGCCAGGTGCCGTCGTCGGGCTTCTACCTACCACCGCCACCCAACAACCACCACCCTTCTCCCTGCTGGTCACCGGCCACCACACACCTCTCCCGCGATTCAGCGACTGGCATCCTCTTCGCTTGCATGCACGGGCACTCATGCAGTCAGTGGTGCTCGCGAGTATGCTCAGGCGTCGCAACATACTCCATCTCCCAACTCTTGGAGATCCTCTCACCAATCCCGACGGTGTCGCTGACATGCGACCATGATGCGGACGTGGCGCAGATGCGCGGCGAGCTGACATGCAACGATGTAGTGGTGTAACCCGAGGGGACGACGTGTCGGGAGCCCTTCCTACTTCGCGCTCTTTGCCGTGTCGGTCCATGACGCAGCCGTCAGTCGCCACTCTTCTCCCCACCTGTTGCCGGCTGCCCTAGAGGTTTGGGTTGAGACGGGAAGAAAGGGGAGATAGGTGGGAGAAGATTATCGGCTGGCATGTAGGACCCACATGGGTCCCACACTGACTCAGCCACCAAGTCACCAAAACCGGGGAGCAATACTGCCTTGGGACCTAATGTGACCCGGTTTTGCAAGATTATGAATATGTTATATCTGGTATTTTAGTTCAGGGACAATTTTGAAACTCGACGACAAGATAAGGGACCTCAAGTGAACCTTTTTCTTTCATCTCTCTCATTTCTCTTTTTTTTTAAAAAAAATAGCAAAGATACTCGTGCGTTGCGATAGGAAATCCAAATTACATATGTTATTTTTTTCCGTGTACGGTGGCAGAGAGTTAGATGATGGATATTTGGGGGCCTTTTTTCATGAACCTCAGTGGGTGGGTCTCAGGCACGTCGTGGATGGAACATATGATAGAGATATGGGTTTCACGTAGAGATAATCAATAGTTGAAGGTGTCATTACTTATTAGTGTGGTATAAAGATTTTATTTTTTGCTGCAAGGGCACTTATCACTATAAAAAATGATTTTCGCCTTTGGCTAAAACCTGTTCTTGCAGGCTGCTAGGTCTAAATATATTTTTTTTTCTATAACGGCGCTTATCACTATAAAAAATATTTTTTAGTATCTTTCCATATGGGCAGCACAAACCACATGCGAAAATAGGGTTTTCACGCATGGGCACATATGGTAGCTATTTTTTAAGAAAATGAACTATTATATATGCAACTGGTGAATTCGTGAAACAAACATAATAAGGCAAAATTTGCCACAGGACACGCAAAAAACATGTAATTAGTTGAGAGACACCGTTAAAACGTGACACTGCTGATAGACACTACAAAAAACGTGTAATTGGCTATAGGACACCGGTCACATTATTTTATTATTTCTGGTTCAAAAGAGGTGAGATATTTTTCTAAATGCCCAGATTGCCCCTTCTCTTTCCTTCTTTAAACATTATTTTATTATTTCTAGTTCAAAAGAGGTGAGATATTTTTCTAAATGCCCAGATTGCCCCTTCTCTTTCCTTCTTTAAACACCAGTGGGTCCCACATGTCATAGACAGTGTATGTTTAATCTAATTTTTAATAGGTTTTTAAACACCTGGCCCCACACGTCATGGACTAATTTGTACCTAATTAGTAGGGTGATTACTATTTGCTAATCATAAGTGGGGGCCCACATTGCTCTCCTATCCTTCTTCTTCCTCACACACGCGGCGGAGCGGAGGAACGGCGCGCGGGCAGCGCGACGCCCCGAGTGGGACGGTCGGTGTCGACAGGTTCCTCAGCGGCGGCGGCTTCGGCCTGATGCTGCGGAAGCACGGCCTCGCCTCCGACCTCGTCATCGATGCCACCATGGTGAACGCCGAGGGGGAGGCTCCTCGACAGGGCCGCCATGGGGGAGGACCTCTTCTAGGCCATCCGAGGCGGCGGCGGCGGGAACTTCTCCGCGTCGTAGTGCAGAACCAGAACGCACAGTTCGAGTCCCTGTACCTCGGTAGTCGGCACACGCCTTGGCCTCGTCGCCGCCATGGCCGACACCTTCCCAGAGCTCAGCGTGACAGCGAGCGACTGCATTGAGATGATGTGGATCCAGTCCATGCTCTACTTTGCGTTCTACGGCATGGGGAAGCCATTGGAGATGCTCCTGGACCGGGGCACCAGCAAGCCGGACAAGTATTTGAAGGCCAAGCCCGACTCCGTACGTCCAAGAACATGCCCAGCCAAGTCTGGGAGACCACCTGGAGCTGGCTCCTGAAGGACGGTGCCGGGCTGCTCATCCTCGACCCCTACGGCGGCGAGATGGTTAGCGTCGTGCCAGCGGTGACACCGTTCCCGCACCGGCAGGCGCTCTACAACATCCAGTACTATGGGTTCTGGTCGAAGAGCGGGGCGGCGGCGGCGGAGAAGCACATGGGCTGGATGAGAGGGCTCTACGATGAGATGGAGCCATACGTGTCCAAGAACCCCAGGGGCGGCAGAGCAGCCATCACCGCCGTCACAGGATCTCTCGCCGTCTGCCGCTCCTGGCGCGGGGGAATATGGCTCCAGGGGCAATCTTGTCATTTTGAAATCACCTCTTTTGACCCGGAAATAATAAAATAATGCGACCGGTGTCCTACGGCCAATTACACGTTTTTTGTAGTGTCCATCAGCCGTGTCACGTTTTCACGGTGTCTCTCAGCCAATTACACGTTTTTTTGCCTGTCCTGTAGCAAATTTTGCCAAATAATTAATAGCTAACACTGGTTGAGTGAAAAAAAATAATATGAAACGAAGGGAGTAAAGTATATTCTATGAACTGTTGGCGGTCACAAGATTTCTATACACTTGAAGACAGATTCGTGAGACCCACCAGCAAAAAATCTCTATCAGCTCAAAAGACAACTGACCGCCATGGGTTTTTGTGATAGGAGAGGCACATGTCACTGCTTGAGGCTACAGGCAGTGGGTGCGTGATGTTGTCGTGCTCGGATTGGAAACTAAATTTTTATATGTGATTGTTTCCATTTCATGTGGGCGGAAGAGTTTGACGCTTGCGGGGGACATGGAAACGGACCAACAATTCACATGTCGGATGAAAAATTGTGTGAAACACACTTTTCTACAATGCACGGCAAAAACACTATGAATGTTTTAAGTAGATAAGGATATACAACCATATACGTCGGATTTTGCAAGCAAATTTGGTAGGATTGATATATAGTACATCATAACCTACCTCTCAGTATTTTTCATATTTTTTTACCACTGTATACATATATTTCAAAGCAGTAAGCATGATTTAAACATCGTGGTTTTAAATTTCAAACAATAGTCATGAAAATTTTTAAAAATATTTTAGAGCTTTGATAATGGTGTTATGTCTGGCCCTACAAAATATCAGCTAATATCAGCTTTAGAATATGACTCGTATAAAAAGAGACGAATAGAATATGACTCGTATAAAAAGAGACGAAGAAGATAAATGCTTGAGCAAACCAATTTTAGTAGTTCAAGGGGTACAATGATGCAAAACATAGGTTAGTGGGTTAAGGGTGTGCTTTTTACTCCATCTTCCTAACTTATACTCACTTCTTTTTATACGCACGCTTTTCCGATCTGTGTATTTTATGTAAAAAAATATAAAGAAAAATTGCTTTAAAAAATCATATTAATTTGTTTTATGACCTAGTCTCAACGATTTATTATGGCGTGCCCCCACCTAAATCTCTGAACAAATCAATTTGCTGCTAGGAAACTCAGACCGTTTATTTGTTTAGAGATCATAGTAGCACCTTGCAAGTTTCAGACATTAAACACATTTTTTTGTTTCAGTTTTGAGTTTAGATAAATATCTGTTAAACTTATATAGGTGGTGTTTAGCTGAAATCATTTGTGATCCAAGGTGAGAGTTATATTTGCCAGCAATACCAAAATATACATGATCCTAACTAATATATATGTACTGCATATACAAAATTAGGTGCAATAGATGCTACTTACAAATAAGGATCTTGTATTGATCAGTTCAACGATCAAACTTCTATTTATCATCACTAATCAAAAGTAGAATTGTACTGCACTGATCTGAAAAAATATCCGTCGCATGAACATAAGGAGGTCAATAGTGCAGATGATGTGTCAATAGTGTAGATGATGCCATCTAAGATTAGTGAGTCCTTTTTGTTCAGAAATGAGGAAGGAATCAATAAGGGAGTACTGCACTGAACAGAAACAAGATGAATTTCATGAACATAAAAGGGAATATAATATTGACCAAATGTAAACCTCACTCTAATAACATAAACGGTTCCATTCATACAAAAGTTTTTATACTCACTGTTTGTATTCCGATTTAATATTGCAAGTTATCATTGTGTCAGTCAATAACAAGCATCCAAACTCATGTGCTAGAAGGCTGGCAATACATAAGCATTTTTCTGGAAAATCTGAGTATATAATAAGCAATGTCAGAATTTTTTTTCCAGACGGTAAATTTCATAAACATGCCCCCCTAAGGCCCTAAAAAAAACCAGAAACACGGTTATCCAAGTATATGAAATTCATATACAATATATGCCAAAATCAGAAAAACATAATCCAATTGTAGAAGTTATATCATGCAGATAGTGCAATTCAGTTTATATTTCATTTATAATGGCTATGATCAAAGGATAATTCATCAGCTGAATGAAATACATAACTGAATAAAATTGTCACAAGAGAAAGGTTTTCAATACTCATCTAAATGAAATGAAACCAAATCAGCGAGAGAGATTAAAAAAGAAAATACCTATGACATCCTAAATGCAGCAACCAAATTCAGTTTGAATGTTTTCATCAGTAACTTCACAACTCGAGTACTACCATAATGAGATGGTTTTAGTTTTTCACAAAAAAAAGGATTCCAAAAAAAAAGGGCCGGTAGATCATGAGATATTTGACCATATTTATTCAATAGTTGCCGTCAATTCACATATATACAGTCTAAATCTATGATCTTAAGAAAATAATATTGGTTTTGAATTAGTCCGTGAATTAGTTTCGATATCTTTAGACAACCTTGATGACCTGGACCACTTTCAGAAATATATAAATGTATGAATGATCCAAATATATGTTATAGCTAAAGGGCAGTGGCGGCCACCAGATCATGTAATGGCATGTTTACATGTAACACATAAAAATTTAAGATGTTCAATCCCAATTCAGTAATTGCTGTATGTGCAGCACAACAGTGCAATTAATTTTAGAAAAAAAAAAGTTACCCTAAAAGCCATGAACACATCCATTACCCATGTACTACATGATTTCTTGCCGTGTATGTGTACGGGCATTTCATCGAACAACATGAGGGTGTCCGGAGATAGAGCTCAAATACAATCAGAAATTATGAAGGCCGTGATGCACGATCAAGCATAAGCCAAAACAATGACATGACCTGTAATCAGGAGAAAAGGAACACAGGAACATGAAGATTTCCTTTCCCATCTGAGGGTAGAGGCCGGTGATGATGAAGATGGCTGCGGCAGCGCCGTTAGTCAGCACGGGCTGCACCTCGATCGAGCCGAGCCGAGGATCCCTCACACACCAACCCCGCGGTTCTTCCTGCTCTCGGGCGGCACGAAGCCGGCGGCTAGATCTCGATGAAACGAATCAGCGATGGCGCTAGGGCGAGGCAGGGTGGCGCGGCACGATGGTCGGCGGGGGCTCGGTCACCGCGACGATGAACCTGAGGTGGGTCCGGGATCGGTGGCAATCGCGACGATGATGGTTGTGAGGGAATTCGGCGGTGGTGGTTTAAAGAGAGGGGGTGGAATCAGCAGGCGTGGAGGAAGATCGCGAGCAATGCGAAACGTGGAGCGGACTGTGGGCGTTTGACGCATAAACAGATACTAGGGGGTGGGAGGTAGAGACGACCTTGCGTTGGATTTCGCAGATGCGATGTAGACCGTTGCGTGAGGAACGAAAGAACGAGTGACCAGTAAAATCATTTGTTGGGTAGATTACTTTTTCTTCGTATTCTTTTTTTTACTTTTTTTTCTTATTTTTACTTCTATTAGAAAAAATGCACGTGCGTTGCATCGGGATAAAAACGTTTTTATGATACAACCGTTATTAGAAACTGAGCAATGAAGAAACATTAGGATCACTATTCATTATAATTGAAAAAATTAATGAAAATTATTTCTTGGTTTTGGGCCTACAGCCCATTATTTCCTTCCTTTTCTATCCTAACCCAGCCCGCTACCTCTCTCGCCTGCCTCTTTTCTATCCAGCCCACAAGTGGAACTACATGCTCCTCCCTATTAAATTCGGTCGAATCTTTTTTTTATCTCTCAAAATTGGTTAAGAACTTATACACTCAATATCCTCTTTTCGTTTTCCCAAAACCAAAATGAATTCACAAAGTTGGGATAAAAAGGTCGGCCAACCATAATTAGTGACTGATAAATCTAGATATTTAAAACCGAATCGAAAGGAGAAGTCATGAGAAAAATGATGAGAGAGGAGTGGAGAATCGATTTTTACAATCAGTTGAAGGAGAAAACACATGGGGAGACAGATCAAAGTGGCGGCGGCGTAAGGGTTTGGTCCAGCGACGGAAGCATGCAACAGATCGGATGAGATAAAAAACCGGGTAAAAAAAGCGAAAAAGAAACCTAGAAAAAAACCGAATAGGGAAAAATCAAACAACGAAGAAAAAGAAACCGGATAAAAACAGCAAAAAAAAAACACGACAAAACGAATCGAAAAAAAAGGAGACACGAAAAAAAACGAATAGTAGGCGACGATGCGTTATGGTCATGAGAAAAAAAAAAGGGAACATATGCTTAGGCTGAAAAAAAACGACGACGGAAGCGATTGGGATTCTAATTGACGGACCAAATAATCTGGCAAAAACATTAAACTTTTATAATAGGTAAAGAAAAGGTAATTCAAGTGATGATGAAAAGCTCAGAATCCGGGCCGTACACTGCCTCGAGATCCGATCCGACGGCCAGGAGGCTCCCAGCGGTGCCCCCGGGAATATCCCCACCGTAGATGCCTCATCCCACGGGTAGAAGGCTAGATGCCGCGGGAGCCGGGGTATAAATAGGCCACTCGTCCTTCTCCTCTCGGTCTCTAGGGTTTGGGATTTTAGCCGCCGCCGCCGCCGCCGCCGCTCACCCGCGCCTTCGACGAGCTCCAGCCCGTAGACCTCGCCGGATCTCCCCGATGGCCGTGACCTTCACCGACCTCCACACCGCCGACGGGCTCAAAGCCCTCGAGCAGCACCTCTCCGGCAAGACCTACGTCTCCGGGTGAGCCCCCAATTTCACACCCTTCGCGCTTGCAATTTGGTGATTAGATCTGTTGACGACGACGACGACGATGCGCTTGTTGTGTTGACGCGTGCTGATTTGCGTGGGCATATTAAATTGGATGATGTTGTGTGTTTTTGCCATGATGATATCGTACGGGGGTAGGATTAGATCTTGCTGCGTCCATTTCAATTTAGTAAATATGGTGATTCGCGATGCGGGCGTGCTCACTTGGTAGTGTTTGTTCTTGTGATCTAGTATTTGTTGTGGTGATTGTGCAGCAATTGGTAGTATTTGTTGTGGTGATTGTGCAGCAATTGGTGTGGTGGTATCTGTTCTGGCAATCTGCGATGAGGCTGTGCTCACTTTTTACTTATCTGTGATGATTGAACAGAAACGCGATCAGCAAGGACGACATCAAGGTGTTCGCCGCCGTGCCATCAAAGCCTGGAGCTGAGTTCCCGAACGCTGCTCGCTGGTATGATACCGTCGCTGCGGCCCTCGCTTCAAGGTAAGCCATTAGTGCTGCTGTTAATCTAGTGTGATCAGTCATGACTCACGAGACTTGGGTGGATTGTTGTATAATGCGTTCACTGGTTGCAGGTTCCCTGGCAAGGCAGTTGGAGTGAATCTGCCTGGAGGAGGTGCGGCATCGTCTGCTGCAGCGGCTGCGCCAGCTGCTAAGGTTTGCTCCTCGCTACGCCTGTCATATTTCATTCAGTCCATTGGTTGATTGAGCAATTTGAGGATATGTTGCTTGGGAAACTTGGACTGTAACGGATGGTAAGCCCCTACCTTTACATGTTAGGGAAACCACCTCGTTAGATTGGAATAGTATGGCCATTTCTTTTGTAAATCTGAGTTGTTAGTCATGGTCATGGATGTTTCCTATTATGTCTGCTTCTTTTGTAAACAGACTTGTGAGTCATGATAGGATGAAGGTTTTAGTTTGGTGGATGTTTGCCATATGCTTTGATGAAACCTTGCAAACTTATACTCCCTCCGTCCCAAATTATAGGGCACCCCCTTTTTAAGGAAAATTGAACTTGTTAGCTTTTGACTAATAATCATACTAACTATATCTATACTAAGTATTATGCATGTTATATCACTAGATTCATATTTTGAAGTACTTTCATGTGATGTTAATTTCATATTTGTTGGGATCATAGAATGGAATAAAATACTGGTCAAATTATGTTATTGAAGACCGTATAAGAAAAATTTAGGTCTTATAATTTGGGACAGAGGGAGTATAACATTTTTTTTACTGTAAGCATTGTTTGAATTGCTTGGTGTTTCCCTTTTGCTGACTTAGCTTTGTATAATCCATTTTTGGCCCTCTACAGGATGCTGATGAAGATGATGATGACCTGGATCTTTTTGGTGATGAGACCGAGGAAGACAAGAAAGCAGCAGATGAGCGTGCAGCTTCCAAGGCCTCTTCAAAGAAGAAAGAAAGTAAGAATAAGTTCAGCATTAAAATTGTTACCCTACATAGTGAACAAGAATTACTTGTTATATGGCCATGTTGTGTTCAATTGTTTTTACCCATTGCTAGTTTATATATCTTTTGTCTAACAACAAAGCTTTATAGGCGGAAAATCATCTGTCCTGTTGGATGTCAAACCATGGGACGACGAGACTGATATGAAGAAGTTGGAGGAGGCTGTCCGCAGTGTGCAGATGGAGGGTCTCACCTGGGGAGCATGTGAGGAGCTATTTCCTTCTTAGCTAGAAGTGTCTTTGCTGATTGTCCATTTCTAATCACACAACTAACACACATCGTTTTTAAATTGCAGCAAAGCTTGTGCCTGTGGGTTACGGGATCAAGAAGTTGCAGATCATGTTGACCATTGTTGATGACTTGGTGTCTGTGGATAGCCTTATCGAAGAACATCTGACTGAAGAGCCGATCAACGAATTTGTCCAGAGCTGCGACATCGTTGCGTTCAACAAGATTTAAAATATCAAAAGGGGATGTTGCTACTTATCCAAAAACTGGGACTGGGACTGGTTGTTCTGGAAGCATTTTTCATCCCATCTTATTATCCTTCACAGAAATGCTAGTTTGAGTTTATTTTTGAGTGATGCCTGTCATTAGTGCCTCTTATCTTTAAGTAGTTGAACTGCAGAGCGGCTTGTAATGGCGAAACATATGCTATGTCAAAGTACATCCGTCCATTTTTACTGTGCAAGTTTTGATGAGTATGCGTTTCGTTGAGTAACTTTTGATGAGTATCCGTCCATCCGTCCAAGCTTGGAATGCGTTTCGTTGTGTAACGTTGTTTGTGTAGGTTTAGTTGCTCGATGATGTGTGGTCAAGGTTTTCACTTCTCTGTTGAGTGATTTGTCCGCTTATTTGTTTTAGTCATCGTTCTGGTTAAGATTTGATCAAATGGATGATTCTTTTGTTGGAATTGAAGTGGATTACATATATGTAGTGCGTTCCCAGGAAAAGCTGAAGTTGAATCACTGGACCTGGAAAACCTGGATTAAAATAAGGCCAATATATTTATATATGGGTGTAGCTATATATATGGCGCCATATTTTTTATTAAAAAATAGTCGGTATGTATTTACATTGTAAGTTTTAGTGTATTTATAATGTAAGTATTAAAATTACATATGTAAGTACTAAAATTACATATGTAAATTCGAAAATTACATACTAATTACATATGTAAGTGGGGTGTAAATGAGGTGTAACTACTGTGTAAGTGGCTGAAAAAAAAATCGACTGTAGCATATGGCGCCATATTTTTAACAACTCCGTTTATATGTTTACCATTTATTCAGCAGTATTTTCTAGAATACCAGAACATGGAGTGGCTGAGAGCGAGGGCCATCATCGGCCAAACGGCAATGGGAAAAAATAATATTCTGTATAAACATTCTCGATTTTGCTCTCTAACTCTCGATTTTTATTGTTAATATATTTTTTTCTGGCGAGGAATTTATCATGATTATTGCTCATCTCAATAACAATTCTGAAAAAAAAATTATTGCCAATCTAATAATCTTTCTTCACGGTAGTGGAAAGAAATTCTTATAAAGGCCATACATGGGCCATTCCTTCGCACTGCGAGTCCGGTGAAAAGCCCAAATAGTTACGTGGGCCTAAAATTGTTAAAGCTAATCCGGTGAAAGGCCCAAATACTTACGTGGGCCGTGTGAGTGAAATGGGCCTCGTAGCAAAGCTCTCTTACCGGCAGAGCACCAAACGTCCAAACCCTCCGTCGTCATTACACGCGGACTCGTCCTCCGCCGCCGCCGCCGCCGCGCAGACACCTCCTGCCCCGCCGCCGCCGGCGATCTACACCGGGGGCGCGCTTGGAGATTTTTTCTATGGCGGGGAGCAGCGAGAGCGACTACTACTCGGAGGAGGAGGAGGAGCTGGGATGGGAGGAGGACGGTCTCGGCAGCGAAGGCGAGGAGGAGGACGCGGAGGCGGCGAGGGAGCGGGCGCTGAAGCGGCTGGACGGCCTCGGGAAGCGCGGGGTGTGCTACCTCAGCCGCGTCCCTCCCAACATGAACCCGTCCCACGTCCGCCAGATGCTCTCCAAGTATGGCGAGGTGCAGAGGATTTACCTTGTGCCTGAAGGTGATTCGCATCCTGTCTTATGCAGATTCCCCATATTGATTTAGTTTATGCCTCCAGATTTGAAGCTGTACTCTCACATTGATATAGTCTATGCATCTAGTATTGATGCTGTGCTCTGTTCAATTTCTGATATAGAAGTAGTTTCTTTCCAAGTTCAGAGCTCATTCGAGGAACACAGTATGCTGGAAGCTGCTTTTTTTTTTTTGCGGGGTAGGAAGCTGCAATTGTTATCGAATGGAATATATCCAGAGCGATTCAATGTTTGCTCGAACAATAAATATGAACGAGATTAGTGAATGTTGGCTGATGAAGTAAGAATCACTGTTGACGCTTGCCATTCTACCACTGAGATTTTGACAGGAGTTTACTGTGGCAACATATGCCTCTATGAAACAAGGGCTGTTCTGATTATGCCTATTGATGTGCTTAATGCTCTGTATCATCACTGCGTAGATTGTTAGATGAAAAACTATGAGCGGAATGCTATTCATGGTGCATTGTTGAAAATCACTCTTCTAGATAAGGGGAATGGTCGGCTTTGTTCTGCATTCCAAGTGATCTACAATCTTACATTGTTGCTACGTCAATATACCATGTAGAGACATTCAGTAACTCATTTTTCCTCTTGTGGTTATGTAACTAGTTTTGAAAACAAGTGCTATTTTAGTTGGGACTGATCTTTATGTTTATCAAATAACATAGTATTATCTCTCAATTATCTGTATGATAATAAGTAAAAAAAGTGGCCTGGTTTCTTACACACTATTTCATGTCTATCTTCCAGGCCAAGGTCATCGCAAGCACACTAATGTTCGAGCGAAGGCGTACACTGAAGGGTATGTTTAGGGAAAAAAAAGATTATGCTGATTTGGAGAAGAGCCTCTGTGCTTAGCATATCAAAGAATTATGCTGAATATCAAAACATATGGCATGCACCAATTATCAAAGTTTACTATCTTTGGTTTATTCATTTCTCTTGATATTCATTTTTATTTAGAGCAGTTATGTATAAATGTATGGTACAAAATATGTTCTGTTTCATAAATTATTTTCTAATGCCTGTTTACAAGCTATATGACCTCATTCTGCCACTGTAATTTTTTTAGGTGGATTGAATTTTCCAAGAAAAGCGTTGCCAAGAGGGTGGCTAATCTACTTAACGGTGAACAAATAGGTGTGTTCTAATTCCGTGGTACATGCACTTTAATCCCTCTATGTTACCATTGGTTATAGTAACTTAGGGGTGATTTCATATAAGAAACAAACAGTTGTATGTGTGATTGTGTGCCATATATTTCACTTTGCTTCTGTGGCTATTGTTTAAATTAACCTGGGGTGACTGGTGTATCTTGTTAGGTGGGAAGAAGAGGTCTCCATTTTATTATGACATTTGGAACATAAAATATCTCAAGAAATTCAAATGGGATGATCTTGTTGGTGAAATAGGTACGTGGAAAATCAAAATTGAAAGGTTGATGCAATTTCTTCTTAATGATGGGGCATATTCTAAGTTGTCTAATCCTTTGAATATAATGTAGCTGAGAAGACTCATATCAGGGAGCAGAAACTAAACTTGGAGATAGCAGCTGCAAAGAAACAACGTGACCACTACTTGTCCAATGTCGAGAAGTCCCGTACGCTGAAACATATTCAGGAGCGTAGGAAAAAGGTTTGTACTATGAGTATGCCATTCTTTGCATTGATGTTTATCTGGTAGCACAATTCCGTATTCTCGTACTCTTGGTCATGTAATCCTTATGAAGGGATTTCTCTTGTGTTCCATATTTTCTCAATTCATAAAGTAACAATTATCAGTTGATATGGACCAAGCTTTGTTGTTCATAATAATACAAATTGTACCGAGCATTAAGAATTTTTTGTATTTTGTTTTATGCTTTAAAATTTTAGTATGGGAGTTTTTATGAACTTGTTGAGATCCTGAAAACAGAAACAGAAGACGGAAGGAGCTGAATTCAATGAAGTCCGAGAAGAAAAAATCGCTCGCCCAATTCCGCAAAAGAAACCTGTTGAGGAGACAGACGCCAAAACTAAACCAAAGCTTCCGAAAGACATTTTAGCCGGAGTAAGTTTGCAGCCTTAATCAGATTTGGTCTGCAAGTATATCCACCAGTGCTTTGACTTGATTCATCGGATTGCAGGTATTTGGTGGTCCATAGTGAGTTCATTCATGAATGCTTCCCACCCCTTACCTTGGACTGGAGTATAGCAAACTGAATGGAGTTGCGCTGAGATAATCGTCTTCTTCATCCGTTCATCGTCTGCTTTATTTTTGTAGATTAGGTCATGGTCTTTAGTAACTTGGTTCCTACTTCCTACCTTGAGTATCTTTTCGTATTTATGCTGTGTTAGGGAAGGTTTTGGGACCTGACGATGAATGTATGATTGGGGTATTGTCAGTGTCATATTATGCACCCCTGTTTTCTCAGCGATCATGGCTGTAATACTGAAACAGAGTTACAGAAGTACACTGCTCTAGCTTGAAGCAACACACTAATGTACCTTGAAGGCTGGTATTAGTTGATCTTGGTTTTGTGCAATTGATGCCATATGTTTCTAACTTCCTATGATCCAAAAAGTTTTTCATCATCTTGAAGTAGGGTGGTTACTGTAAATGTTTCGGTAAAAAGTACTACTCCCTCTGTTTTTTTTAATAATAAATGACGCCGATGACGTTTAAACAATCATTCGTCTGATTAAAAAAATACAAATGTATAAAATATAAATCATACTTAAAATACTTTTGAGTGATAAAAAAACTCACAACAAAATAAATTATAATCACATATATTTTTTTAATAAAACAAATGATCAAATGTGTAAAAAAAAAGTCAACGGCGTCATCTATTAAAAGTTATACTTCCGTTGACACCGTTGACAGAGGTAGTACCTTACCATATTGGTCAGTAGCTTATAAAAAAAATTATAAATACACCGGTAATCCCTTAACTTGCTACATAATTTTTTTGCGAGGATATGATATCTTACATAGGATCTACATTTTCGAATTTTACATATAGCAAAATAGCACTACGCAACAAGTTTAAGAATCAACCATACACCCTCCGGTCATTTTTAATTTCCAGAAAGATTTTGACTAATAATTAATTCACATACAACTACATTTAGGGTATGAAACTTATCCCATTGGATTCATACTTCAAATTACCTCCACATAGTACTAATTATTTTTTTATAGCTACTAGAAATATTCTTTATAAGAATTCATTGGTCAAAGTTTAGTCATAAATACTTTCTGAAGTTAAAGTTTGCATTATAAAAATAAACAGAGGGAAGTATTATTTTTGCTCCATTAAAAGTAAAAGAGAAATAAAAAGGGGCACTGCTGCTTCCCCACGCTCTTCTGTATGAGGCCATCTCGTCTGAACCAGCACTCCTTCCTCTTCCTCCTCCGAGAGGCCTCCGCCTCCGCCGCCGCGCGCCGCCGCCTCCCTCCCCTCCACGCTCTCCTCGTCAAGCTCGGCCTCCAGCCCTACGCGCGCGTGCACAATGCCCTCATCCAGGCGTACGCCGCCTCGGGCCTCGTCGACGACGCCCGCAGGGTGTTCGACGGAATGTCCCACCGGGACACCGTCTCGTTCAACTCCATGATCCACGCCCACGCCATGTCCGGCGACGTCGTCTCGGCGCGCCGGCTGTTCGAGCGTGTCCCGTCGCCGACACCCGTCACGTGGACGTCGATGGTCGCGGGGCTCTGCCGCGCCGGGGACGTCGCCGCGGCGAGGCGCCTGTTCGAGGAGATGCCGGTGAGGGACCTGGTTTCCTGGAACGCCATGATGTCCGGGCTCGCCGGGAACAGGCGGCCCGTGGAGGCGCTGTGCCTCTTCCGCCGGATGATGGCGGAGGGCTTCGCGCCGAACCGCGGGACGGTCCTCAGCGCGCTGGCGGCGTGCGCGGGCGCCGGCGCGCTGGAGACGGGGAAGTGGATCCACGCCTTCGTCGAGAGGAAGAGGCTCTTCCGGTGGTGGGATGAGTTCCTCGGCACTGCGCTGCTCGACATGTATGCCAAGTGCGGCGCCGTGGAGCTTGCTCTGGATGTGTTCACCAAGTTGAGATCGAGGAACACTTGCACATGGAACGCCATGATCAATGGCTTGGCCATGAATGGCTACTCAGCAAAAGCATTGGACATGTTTCGCAAGATGGAGCTTGACAGAACAGTGGTGCCGGATGAAGTGACCTTTGTAGGAGTCCTACTAGCTTGCAGCCATGGTGGATTTGTGGATGTAGGGAGGGAGCATTTCCACATGATTGAGAAGAAGTATGGCATAAGGTTAATCCTTGAGCATTATGCATGCATGGTTGATCTCCTTGCTCGCTCCGGTCATCTGCAGGAAGCCCACAAAATCATTGCAGGAATGCCGATGAAACCCGATGCTGTCGTTTGGAGGGCATTGCTCGGTGGATGCCGTCTCCACAAGGATGTCAAGATGGCTGAAACTGCAATATCTGAGATGGAAGCAACTTGTAGTGGTGATCATGTCCTCCTGTCAAATCTCTATGCTGCAGTTGGGAGATGGAGTGGTGTTGAAGATGTCCGGAGGACCATGAGAAGCAAGGGGATTGAGAAGATTCCTGGCTGCAGCTCAATTGAGATAAATGACTCCATCCATGAGTTCGTCTCAGGTGACAAGTCACACCCATCATATAATGACATTCATGCAAAGCTGGCTGAGATTAGCGCAAGGATGCAACAACAAGGTTATGTCACAGAGACTGCAGAGGTGTTTTATGATGTTGAGGAGGAAGAGAAAGAACAGGCACTCGGTCATCACAGCGAGAAGCTTGCAATTGCATTTGGGCTCATTGGAGGCCCTCCAAATGTAGCAATCAGAATCGTAAAGAATCTTCGCTTTTGTGCAGATTGCCACAAGTTTGCCAAGTTAGTGTCCCAGATCTATCATTGGGAGATTGTGGTTCGGGATAGAGCCAGATTCCATCATTTTACAGAGGGAGCCTGCTCTTGCAATGATTTTTGGTAGTAGAGAAATCTGGAATAGTGGCATAAAGTATGCTTTCTTGTCACACTTGACACTTCGTTTGCTTACTATGTTAATTTCTTTTCCTTTTTACTGCATGAAGGTCTTTTTTTTAACCTTTTTAGTAGGACACAATCTTGCTGAACCATCTGAGTCAATGTGCATCTGTTGAGATAAGTTTATGACTCATGATGATAGACCCAATTAACTTAAAAAACTAGTCTAATGTTTAATATTTTCTTTTTTTTTTAGGTTGCTGTGAAACTATGGAAGTATATATTTCCAGTTTGCATTCAATAGTAAATGAAAACTCACGTCAAAAAATAATAAAAGAAAATAGCTTCATACTACAGCCTGTCTCAATAGAATAACTTGATGAAACTGTGAAAGAATTAAATTAAGAAAAGCTGGCTCAGTCAATTCTATGTACAATATTACGAGGCTATCAGCGGTATTGCATTTAAAAGAAAATCTGTTGAAGCATCTATATTGGAGATCTAAGTGTCAGTGTAGTCCTTGCAACTGCATTATGTCCTTGAAAATCTCTGAAAAAATTACGAGCAAGGCACCCCCCATGACAAATGAGAGGGTAAATTTTCCTCCCGGGACTATTGGTGGTACTGGAGCTTCCAGATCATCTGAGTACCTCTCTGACCAAGACATAGCTGCTGGAAAAACTCCAAAAAGTACTAGAACTGAAAAGAGCACATTCAAGATATCAGTTCATTCTTCCTTTTTTTCCTCTCTCCTGATAAGATATCAATTTAATGTACTGAAGTGGCAAATCTAATCTAGGAGTTCCCTTTCAACCCAGATTGGGTCAGGCTACGAACCTAGATAAGCACTCACGTTTTTTCATTTACCCACCACCAATAAACTGTAAAACTGTTTTATTTCCTTTTTAGGATTAGGTGAAAAAACACGTAAATGAGGTGCTAAGTTCTTAGATATCAAATTGGAATAAATAAACGAGCTGCTAAGTTCTTAGGTATCAAAATGGAAAAAAAAGGGTGACTGAAATGTCATGATTGGTTGGTTTCATTGCATGACAACTTGACAAGTCTTCTAGTAAAATAAATTTTAAAATAGCATAGGACTATACATGTTTCTTCTCTACATCTATTCATAATAAGAGATAGTTTAAAAGGATCCTTGCCTCCATAAGTTCCTGCAAAGTCCAATGCCTTGAAAAATATCTCTGGATCAAGCAATGACAGAACAAGCGGTGGGAGCAAAGTCAGAAGGTACGGCAGAGGTTTGTTCTGTCCACTTGGTAGTTTAAGCACTGCAATGTTTTATAAAAGTAGCAAAAAATAAAGAGGGATAGTGGATTAATAGCATTAAGTAGTCCGAGAATATTGACAGTAATTTTGTTATTTTCAGGTATCTCTCTCATGAAATGGAGAGCTTCTCCTTTAGACCTCGTATTAGTTGAAAAATGTGATTGCTCTGGGCTGAAGAAGATAACTTACAGTCTGCTATGAAGTCTGAGAGTCCTAGAACAAATCCAATGTATGATGTGCCAATTGCAAGAAATGAGAATGCCTCAACAATAGGCTGCAAAATCAAAGACATTTTCAAATTAACCTCAGTTTTTGTGAAATATGGAACATTGTATGAACAACTTGAAGCACTTACCCCCACTGTTCCATTACTTGATCGAAGCTGTTCTAGTGGATCAATAATGGTTCCATCCCCTGCAAGGCCTGGAAGTGTCCCCAGGATTACAGCATCCCATATGAGAAACAGAGCAAGGGGTATGGCGGTACCTACTACAATTGCCTTCCTGCAATATTCAACAAGGATATTCATATTCCTTTTGAACCCACAATTTAGGATGTGATAATATGGCCATTAACTGAAAATTCATAATATGTGTGCCCCATATTAATTAAACTATGATTGTTTTCAATACTTTTGTTCTGAACAAGGTAAAATTTTGCTCTGTTGTCACAAGTGTGAAAGTACTTTTATAACTTCTGTATTTATTCAGATTTTACATACAGATTCTTCTTGGCAGCCTTACCTTACTTTTGATAGGTCTCCCTCCAAATTTGTACACAGAACAGGAACTACATTCTGTCAAGGAGAATACTCAGTCTGGTACCAAGAATATTAATTCATTCAAATTGAACACGGTGAGTAGGATTACCTGGTATACAAATGAAAGAGCAATTATCGGTATACTTTGTGGGGCAGCAGCAAAATTTGCTTCAAGAAGAGAACTCCACTGCAGGTTTCCACTTGCCACCACCTGCGAAGGTCACACACTCTATTCACCACCTATACTTTGTATCGTATTGTTCATTATGTGTTACTTATTTCGTAGTGATCTGGTCACTTTAGCTTTGTCATTTATATATTGAAACTATATAACTAGAGCCTGGAGGAATCACTATATTACTGAAAAGAATGAAAGACGGCCATATTTCCTGTCAAGTAGACTATATAACCTGTACATCTGTAAGAATGGATGACTGGCCTACACAGAATTGCATTCATGTTGTTCCTTTCATATGACATAGGTTGAAAATTTCGTCTATATCTGTTACTGTAGTTTGCAAACGGCACTGATAATGATTAGGCATAGATACATCCTTATTTTTTAGGAAATTTGTTCACGTTTCATTCTCTTCACTGATAGCTAGGATCATCGATGACTTGATATTTATGACATGCGAATATGAAATTCCATATGAATACCGCTAGAAAGTTTACAGAACTATGTTAATAATCTGCAGCATATATAGGCACACTTACCACAAGAGTTGTGAAGGATGCTAGGATGCTGAACACCAAAAAACCATTAACCGCACCAATGACTCGCTGGCTGCAGTCATCAATACAAATAGTTGTAGTGCTTATCACCTCTCAGGATGGTGTAAGATTTAAGATGATAGATTGCCTAAGTATCTAAGCACAGAGTTTCATATTATGAGAGATACTTTGACTATTTCCTATTATGATATTTACCTTCCAAAGTAGCATAGCCCCCCAAAAGCCAGTGAAAACAGGGCAGCACTCTCCCATCTGTAATAATAATAGCATCATCAATGGCTCAAGAGAAGGCATTACTGAATGCTGAGAAAATTACGCTCTGGTGACTAGTGATGCTCAATGACTGTTAAATACTACTATCTATTAAGAATTCTAGCACTTGCACTCAGACAATTTTTTGAGGAAGTAGTAACCTCTGTAAATTCCGTAGCATTTTTTTTATTACAGTGCTGTGGAATGTGTCAAAGGATACACTGATCATATGTGTACATCCTTTCAAAACAAAAGATATGGACAAATGTTTTAGCTAGAAGATGAACTAGAACTGAAAACGAAGATAAGAAGTCATACAATGGAATGCCCACTGAGTTTGTTATGATCTCTGAAGAGCGTGCCACATATGCAACCAGAAGTGCATAATGTATAAACAAATATGAGATGCTGCAGGCACATTGAAAACAATGTTAGACTTTCTCTGTTCATGAAATGTTGCATCTGCAGGTTCATTACAGAGAGGATAAGAACTCTTATGTTTGGAGTTCCATGTTATAATTTTATTTAATTAAATGCCAATGCCTTATTACACATAAATAAACTTTAGTTAAATCAAATCCATCATACCAAGCTGTTCTTACTCCAAATGTCCCTAGAGTGCGCATAGCCATTGAGACCTGGAAGAAAAACTAGTCTTTAGAGGAAACAGTTGCTATTCTCAAATCACACAAAATCCAATTGTATGCAGAGAAATTCTAACCAATTATTGACTAATATCATATCCAGTAGTTTTTTTTGAGAAGAAGTCGTAAGGATTTTGTTCAGTACATATCATATAACATTGTAATATTGAAAGTTACAGTGCAAAATTTGGGATATTGTTTGGTGAGTCTCATTTTCCATCATTTGCCAAATCTATTAACACTTGTATTCATATGCAGCGTTAACACCTCTTGGAAGTAGTATGCTACTCTTCAGCTAAATTTAATTATTTCAGATTCATCTTGATTAAGTCCTTTTTCTCTCTCTCCCCGCGTCGCTCTCGCGCGGGCGGCTCGGGGGGCGAAAAAACCCTAGCCGCCCGCGCCTCTTCTCCATCCCCGCTCCTCGCCGCCCCTGGAGCTCGCCGGCGGCGAAGCCGGCAGCGAGCAGGGAAGGCGGCGGCGAGGCCTTTTTCTTCGTGGTGTTTCCTTCCTCGGCGCGAAGTGGACGGGACGAAGACGACGAAGTCCCCCACCGGCACGGTCCGAGGCGGCGGCGAGGTGGGGAGAGGCGGCGGATCCGGCGCCCCCAAGGCCGGATCCGGCCATCCCCCACCTGGATCTGCGCGGCGGCGGCGCGAGGGCTTGGGGTGGCGTGGCGGTGTGTGGTCGTGGTGGCGGCGGCGTGCGGCCGGCGGCGCGGCAGGCGGCTGCGGCTCGGCCGGCCCGGCTCGGGCGCGGAGGCGGCGGCTGGCTGTGGCTCGGCGAGGCCGGCCCAGGTGCTGAGGCGGCGGACAGCCGCAGCTCGGCGACGGCTCGGCGTGGCCGACCCGCGCGCAGAGGTGGCGGTGGCCCGGCCGGCTGCCAGAGGCGGCAGCGGCGCCCAGCGCGGCGGCGTGCGGTCGTGGTGGCGGCGGCGTGCGGCCGGCGGCGAGGCGGCAGGGCGGCGGCTGGCTGTGGCTTGGCGAGGCTGGCCCGGGCGCTGTGGCGGCAGACAGCCGCAGCTCGGCGTGGCCGACCCCGCGCGCGGAGGCGGCGGTGGCGTGCCCGGCTGGCAGCGCAGCCTGCCCGACGCAGCAGCGGCGACCCCACTCGTCCTGGCCGGGCAGCCGAGATGCCGTCGCGGTGGCTAGGTGAGGCGCGTGGCCGGATAACGGGGGCGCTGGCGGGTGGCGCCGGTCTGGAGCGGCAGCGCCACCGGCGGCCAGATGGTAGTTCTAAGGGAGCTGGCGGCGGTGGGTCGTCTTCCTCGTTGCCGGTCGGCACCCTCGCCCTTCCTGGAGCTCCTCCCCTTCTTTGCGGGGAGTTTCTAGGTTGGATTGAGGCGGCAGCTCGTCAGCGGGGGAAGCTCAGGCTGCCGATGCAATGCCACCTAGTCCCGGGTTCTCCTTTGGCCAAAACTGGCGAGGCGGCCGGCGGGTGGTGGAACAGAGGGGTCTTGGGCCAGCTCTCAGGGGTGGTGGCTCGATGAAGTCGGCCGACGGAGGGGCGTCGGTGCGGTGTGGTGGATGCTATGTGCTGCCATTTGTCTGTGTGGTGGTTCTGAGTTGGTGGACGGCGACCTGCAGTCAAGGTTGTAGGGTCCCAGGCGAAAGCCTAGTCCGGTGGTTCACCGGGCCGGCAGCGGCTACGTCTTCGGGCGTCGTAACCTTTTTGGGGCGTTGTCGAGGGTTACCCTCTCCCTTTCTCGACGAGCTTCTCTGGGTGAAAACCACATCTTTTTCAGATGGGCGATGGCGGCATCCTGGATGTCGTGACCACCTTGGTGGCATCGTTTTCGGAGCCTCGTCTCTGTGGTGTTGCCGTTGGCCTAGCGGCGTTCGGCCACGCTTAGCGGGGGTCGTTTGGTGCTAGGCTTCACCCTCAGTGGTTTGTGCTTGGGTGGTAGTGCGTGGTGTGTGGCATTGCACCTTGGTGCATTTGATGTTTTTTCTTGTAACTTTTACTCCTTCTTAATATACTCGGTTGGCCTCCTTCAGCCTTCCCGACGAAAAAAAAAGATTCATCTTGATTGTTCCTAAAAGAAATTTTGGTTCTGAAAAATAACTTGAGTAATGTATTAATTACCAGGGAGACACCTCCAGATCCTAGTTCACACATAGTATTGACGTTTACTTCAGCAACTAACAACCCTGTTACAACCTGGAAAAATGAGATGCCAAACATAAACCGTCGGAGTGCAAACAAATTAACGAACTAGACAGAGTATTGGGTCATATTATCAAAACCGTCCTGTATCAGGGTGACATAACAGATACAAAATTGAATCACTTCCTTTATGAGAAGAATTTATGCAGGAATGTGAAATGTGAAAGAATGTACCTTTGAGAGGCTTCTCTGAGTGCATGTCACCTCTAACAAGTCGGTTTTGATAATCTACCCAGTCAGTGACGATCTATTACCATATAAATCCAGCAGAAGATGCATGTAACTGCTGAGGCCAAGAATCCAGCTTCTTGTGTCACTGCAGGGATTGCAAGGATACCCGCCCCTACCTGTGGCATCAGTTCGTGTCGGAAAAGAAAAATCAGGTGCGCTCAATTTTTCATAAGTTTTTGTAGTTTCTTAAAGCAGTGTTTGATGATCTGTGAAAGGCTGGCCTTTGTCAGATTATCAACTGTCCTATGATTTCTCATTCTTACAAGTCTTTGTACATTTCATTTGAACACAAATTCTACCTGCAGCCTCATCATCAATTGCTTGAAATGAGAGAAACTAATGCACAATTCCTAATCCAAATATTTTATCTCTTGCAGCGAAGGATGATAAGACGAACATTACCGTAGTGCCGGCCACAAGGAAGATCGAACTGGTGACACTCCCTGACATCCAAATGAGGAACGGTTCCATTACGGTGCGTGCATCTCAAAGGCAAAACAAATACGCACAAGGAAGTTGAGAGAAGCATGTTGTGCGCCTCACCAGGTTCGTGCTTCATGGTTGCCTGGTTGAGATTGGAGAAGAGTCGCTCCAGCTGCTGATTCTGCTGCTGCTGCTGCGAGCCGGATGACTGCTTCTCGGCGTACTGCTGCGAGCACAGGCATCGTTGCAGCCTTCTCCTCGGTCCTCCTGTTGTCCTGTGAAGCACCGGCGCTCTTGTGGAGGCCGGAAGTGAGACTGACGATGATGCTGCTGCTGCTGAGCCCAGTAGAGGGTAGCAGCGAAGAGAAGCAGTTAACGCCATTGCCGGTGTTCTTCGTCTGCAACTGCAAACCAATTTTGTTTGTGTTATCTTTGTGGCTGTTTGTGTGGCTCATGTGTCCACAGGCTGAAAAGTGGCCGGGGATGGTTGGCTGCTTTCTCGGTCAGTCACACGAACACAGCAAGTTTCAGACTTTCAGTGGTTCACGGTTGGGTTGCTGCTGTGGGCTGTGGCAGAGTAGTAGCGTCCAGCAACTGTGTCTGCGTCTGCCCTGCTGTGTGTGGATCAGCCCTGTGTGGAAGGAAGGAACTAGGATGTAGCCAAAATAAAACTTATCAAATTTTGACAATTTGATAATATTATTAAGTTTTGGCATAATTTCTTATGTATTTACTAGTAAGAAACTAAATGAATACACATACTCCCTCCGTTTTTTAATAGATGACGCCGTTGACTTTTTCTCACATGTTTGACCATTCATCTTATTCAAAAAAATTTATGCAAATGTATAAGATATAAATCACACTTAAAGTACTATGAGTGATAAAACAACCCATAATAAAATAAATTATAATTACGTAAATTTTTTGAATAAGACGAATGGTCAAACATGTGAGAAAAAGTCAACGACGTCATCTATTAAAAAATAGAGGTAGTATTTGACAACTTTAAAAAATAGTATGGTTTGAAATAACATCAGAACAAACCAGTAACTTCAAATTTTTTCCCATGTAGGGACTAACAGGCTTACAGGCCATTGGGCCAAGCACGGGCTGATTGTGAAACGAGAGTGGCCCAACCCAATTTCCACAACCGAGCTTTACGCGGTTGTAACTTGTCCATCCATGTAACTCCGACTCTTCCAAACGGTCTAACTTTCTTCCTAAAGTTTTAAAAAGTCTTTCCACCTAATAAATTTTAAGAATCATCAGGAAGCTATAGTCTTCTAAAAGAAAAATGATTAGATGATACAAACTGAAAAAAGTTGCTTCGTGCAGTTAGCTCCTCTCTCGATCGGCGCAGGCTTAGAGCAGGTACAATAATAGACTAAGTCGGCTACAAGCTTAAGTGGAGTAGATAAGAGAGAAGTGAGAAGAGAAGCGGGTTACAGATTTGTAGCCAGCTACAGCACGAACTCCAAAACACTATATGTATTAATGTATATGACATATGGGACCATTTATTAATGATGTAGTATATATTTATAGTTAACTGTTATATGAATTAGCTATTACATTGATTACAAATAATTTAGAGCTAATATCTGACTATACTGTTAAACTTGCTCTTAAGCGGTGTGTTGTATATACAAGCAATCCTTTTGTACCAATGTATGAGTACATCGCCCAATATGTCAGTCAGCAGGAGGAGAATCCACGTAGCGTAGCAACAACCGCTGCTATGAAACAATTGAGATGAGGTCGAATACAAACAGCAGCCATTACTGTAGTATAGCCACTGGTGATTGACGACGAGACGACGCAGCCAATTTTGTCCAGACATTACACGGATCTCGACGCACCTTCGTGCCGCTGAACGGTGGGAATTCTCCCAGGATAATATAGAGTATTACCGCCAGACAGACACGTGCATGTTTTAATTAGAGCAAGTTTAATAGTATAGCCAATTGCTAACTTCAAATCATTTATAGTCATCATATAATAGTTATCTGTCATATGCACACTGTATCTTAAAAATCCATGCTGCAGCTGGCTACAAATATATAACCCGCTGATCTTCTCTCTTCTTTTTTATCTTCTCGAACTGTGCTTATAGCTAGCTTATAGTATGCTATTGTTCCTGTTTTTAGTGCTGTACTTTATCGATATCCTGGAATCTGCAACCTGTCAAAGTTTCAGTTTGCTGTTTATGGCAAGAAAACTAAGCTAAACTAATCTAAATCTGAATCTCCAGGCTCCAAATCCAGGCAGGAATGGTAAAATGGCTCGTCAAGATTTCTTGTACTTGTGCTGTTGTGCACCATACTCATCATCGCAGTCTCAGATCTTTCAGATGCGATCGCTGTCCGTCCCACGGAAATCTCAAGATAAAAATCTCACCTTTCCCTCTCCCTCTCTCTCCACTCTCCATCACCCCACCGTCTGCAGTGCAGAGATCTGCGTCTGCAAAGGATTTCTTTTTGAAATAATATAACTTTAATAAAAAAATTTGCAAAATAGATATTAGTTAATAAAAATTATAAATTTAACACCGGTCGAACAACTGTAGCTCAATAGGATACATATCAAACAATCATTATTTAATACTACCTCCGTCTCAAAATAAGTGTAGCCGTGGATATCCGTGCCTAACGTTTGACCGTCCGTCTTATTTGAAAAATTTGTGAAAAAAATAAAAATATTTAGTCACACATAAAGTAATATTTATGTTTTATCATCTAATAGCAATAAAAATACTAATCATAAAAAAAATTCAAATAAGACGAATGGACAAACATTGAACGTGAATAGTGTAAAACTGTACTTATTTTAGGACGAATGAAGTAGGTATATATCAAACTTCGTTCATGTACTATTCTACAGGTGGCCTATCGAACTAGTATCAATGTTCGATAGTTCCCATAGCAATACCCTGTCGAAGTTCCTATATGTACACACATCGAAGTTTCTAATATTTCGAAACCCCATCAAACGATGGTTGTTTGATACTCCCTCCGTCTCACGATATAATGGATTTTGAGTTTTTATTTGCAACATTTGATTACTCGTCTTATTTAATTTTTTTTTGCAAATATAAAAAACAAAAAGCTGTGTTTAAAGTACTGTAGATAATAAAGTAAGTCACAAATAAAATAAATAATAATTTTAAAATTTTTTGAATAAGATGAGTGGTCAAACATTGCAAGAAAAACTCAAAATCCCTTATATTATGGGACGGAGGGAGTAAATTTATGTTAAATTTGTGATTTCAGATCACCAATATCCATTTATACATGGAAAATTTGTATTTTTTCTTAAGGAAAAAAAAAGAAATTTGCAAGTTGCAGCGGTGATCAAATGCTAGCGTAGGTCGGCTGCGTCTGTCTCGTCTTCACGTGTCCATGGTCTCAGCGTCAGCGACGAGACGAGAGACGAGAGGCTTCTTCTTCTCCCAGCCACACAACCACAACCAAACAGAAGAGGCTCTCTCAAATTTAGGAGATCGGCCCAGCGTCTCGTCCGGATCCGGAGGAGGAGCAAAAGCTCCCTTTTTTATGCCGTCTCTCGTCCCAGCTGCAGGTGGCGCTTTCCCACCCTCGCCACTCCGCTCGCTCCCCGTCGTAGACGTCGCCTTCGCCGTCGCTCTCCTCGTCCACCCTTTTCTGCTCCATGTTTTCATCATCATCTTCTTCTTCTTCTTCCACCCGTTGCTGATTCCCTCACTGCTGCTCGTTTCTCGCCATTGCGGCCGTTCTTGGCTACTGACAGAAGAGGTAACCCCCGTTCGTTCGTTCCCTTCTTGATTTGTTCTTGCTTTGCTATTGGATGGGATGCGCTGAGCTGCTGGTAGAATGGTTCTTGCCTGGCCATGGCGGCGAAAAGTAGGATGCGGGAGACACGGGAATGTGGGGAGGAACAGTTTCTTGATTCTCCGAATCTGTTCTACCCTTTTCGTGGCAACATGGAAAGGGTACTGATACTTGAATCATAACCAATCTTATTTATTGGAGAAATGGGAAAAGGGAGGGGTGGAAACAGGAACATCGATGGATATGGATGGCCTCACATGCGTGCATCCTGAAACCACTCATTTTTGTGCATCGTCTATTGACTTCATGAGTTCTTGGTAGATGGTGCTTGTGAATCTCGCATGATTGTTCATTCATTCATGTATTCGGTTTACTGACTTGTCTGCCTGTTTTTGTATTTTTGATAGGAATGACGAATTTGTCCGGGAAGAAATCTCTGAATACAGTGACCTTGGTCTTCAAATTACCCTACTACACACAATGGGGGCAGAGTCTTCTCATCGCCGGCTCAGAGCCAGCACTTGGATCTTGGAATGTTAAGCAAGGATTGTCTCTCAGTCCAGTTCATCAGGGAAATGAGCTAATCTGGTCCGGCAGAGTTTCCGTCGCTACTGGTTTTACCTGCCAGTACAATTACTATGTAGTGGACGACAACAAGAATGTTTTGAGATCGGAGTCCGGGGAGAAAAGGAAATTAGTACTTCCAGAGGGTGTTCAGGATGGAGATGTAGTTGAGATACGCGACTGGTGGCAGGTACTTAGTAAAAGTTTCATGTACTAAATTAATTTCTCTTCATGCTTGTTGACCTATAAAAACATTAGTAGCAGTAGCAGCACTACTTGCCATCATACTAGTCATACAGGCTTTCATGTTCTGTACCATGGCGGTTTATGGATACTCCTGATTTGAATTTAGGATGCTTCTGAAGCTCTTTTCCTTCGAAGTGCATTCAAGAATGTCATTTTCAATGGGTCTGAAAATGCTAAAAGAGAATTGAAGACTACATCCCTCAACAAAAGTTTGGAGCCTGAAGGTAAGAAGAGTCTAGAACTGATGGAATAATCAACAGGAAGTCAAGTGGTCAATCTACATATATCACATATTCCTTTTGAATATATTTTATTCATAAAGAATCAATGTAGCATCATGTCTTACCTATCGAGCAAAGCATGTTGATTGTTGTTTAATTTTTTAGATAATGGGCAACGTCCGGCCTCTGCATTCTAAGGTGAATGCACACGGCCAAGATTGTCGTTTAATATAGTCTCATATCTTCCATGGTAGTGCATATTACTTAGATTTACATACCAAGCCAAGCATGGATAACATTTTTTTAATTCATTGTCCCTAAATTTTTCCTCAACAGATATTGTTGTTCAGTTTATTGTTAGCTGTCCCCGACTTGGAGCTGGCTCTACTGTAAGTGTTATTCGTTCAATTTATATTTGATTATCTTTATCCCATTATAGCTAATAATTATACTTCTGGTACTCCCTAACTATTGCTCATGTCAAACTTTAGGTCGTGGTCACAGGAAGTAATCCTCAATTAGGAAGGTGGCAAACACAAGATGGCCTCAAGCTTAATTATGTCGGAGATTCCATCTGGAAAGCAAACTGTCTGTTGCGAAAGTCTGAGTTCCCAATAAAATATCCTTGTGCCAATGAGTACTCACTTACTTCCAATTTGCATGTAGAAATCACCATTTAGATATTATTTCTGAAGAAATCACCATTCAGCTATTGACCATTCTTAACAATATCCCACA